CTAACGTCCATGTCACACCGATACCAGTTGCGATTGAGAACACTACGCTTGAAGTTGTCGACGAGTATGTATACATGGGATAAGTTGTCCGAATAGGTAAGTCCAACTTCGACCGAGAGGTCAACTGACGAATTAAACTGGAGCAGCAGCGTTAGTAAAACTATCTCACATCTTTTCATTCAAAATACCTCAGTGTTTGAAGACGAAGGTTTTTAACCAGTGTGTGTTGCCAGTAATGACTTATTGAACCGAAACATGGTCCTACACGATTGGCCGTATGCAAAAGCTTAAAATTACTCAGAAGGCTATGCTCGGAGTCTCTTTGCGTGATAAAATCCGAAACGAGGATATTCGCAAAAGAACCAGAGTAACCGAAGGATAAGCAAGCTGAAATGACACTGTGCTGGTTACAAACCTAAAAAAACTGACAACCGATAGGGAAGAAAGGTTCTTGGATGGCGATCTCGTACGGGCAAACGCAATGTAGGACGACCCCCACATAAGGAGCGACGAATTCTAATACGTTGCAGGGAATCAGTGGATGCAGGTTGCTCAGGACTGTTCCTTATTGCAGTCTATGGGGGAGGCCTATATCCAGCAGTGGACGGATAATGGCTGAAATAATGATGATGATGATTAAAAAGAAATATTTTCAATTCGGTTGTATTTTATTATGTTTGTTACCTCATAATTCCGTTAAAATTCTAAGTTCCGTTAAGATGCAAAATTTAAAGATTTTTAGATTTGAAAAAAAAATTTTATCCGAAAAATACTAAATACTTAAAGATTAATCTCAAAGAAATTTTATCAAAATCGGCTTATGTTTATTTTTAGACCAAAATAGTTGGTTTTGATGCAATTTAAAGCGGCTGTTTTTATGAGACACAATTTTTGATCATTACTTTTATAATATAAATATAGTACATTACTGCAGCGACCAGCAACTGAGGCATTGATGGAAGAACGTGTAAATGTGGGCTGAGGAGTAGCCGAGGCACACATACGTGAGTCCATCATTGTCTAGTTGTGGCCAAGGCTTGTATAGTACTTTTCTGAAACAATGTGCGGAAATCAAAAACACAATTTTACTTTTTAAGTTCAATGACGAATAACGAACAATAATAATTTTTCACGCGCCATAATGTTCCTTTGTTTTTTTTTTTCAATAAACAGCTTTCTATTTGCAAACCAGTTCGAAATTTAAATAAAACCTTTTATTAGTTACCTCCTTGGCAGCCATGTTTCGAAGCAAAAAGTCATTCCATTTTTAAATTACAGGACAGATATGAGTTTACATAGTAATTTATCTGGCCGCAAAACACGACAGATATGGATTTTCATACAACTTTTGCCGGCCGCTGCCCGCATGTATCTGGCCAGTACGGCAATTTTGATTTATCTCGAAGAAGATTGTCAAAATAATGCTCACATTTCCAAGCATGTTTGAGAAAAGAATCATATTATCCAATATTCCCAGAATCCGCTTTCGCGGAAGGCTCTTCCATTCATTGGAGAGCGATATTGCTTCTATGATTTATAATAGTCTAGTTTCTTTTTTAAATAAAGTATAAATTCAAATTCATAAAAGGTACGTATACATTTATATTTTTTTATTGGTATGGTAATGCATTACATTTAATTTATTTTGAAATGTCATTCCTTAAAGCTATCTTAATTATGCAATAAAAAAAAATTAAACTGGTCTTTGGTATTTAATCAACATATAGATATAATTATATAACAAAGTATTATATGTACGAGTTTTTAATGCAACCTTTCTATACAAAATATATATAACCTAAGATTTATATCTTGAAAACTTATCCTTCTTTCAAATACAACTTTAGGGAACAATCAAAACTTTCGGGTCCCTATGTCAGATTTTATGAAGCTATAAATATTGTTCTTGATCGCAATATAAACATCTAAAATATATTTAAGATAATTTACACTTAAAATTCTTAATTTTCTTTTTAATTTTCAAATATTGTATTTATTATAACTTGAAATTTTATAATATAATACAGAAAATGAACACTTTTGTACTTAATGTTTTACGCTTAAATATTAATGTAACTAAAATTTTATTAAAAAGAAAAACTGGTGTAATAAAACTTCAACTGTTAAACTACTTGTTTAGTTTCTTATTTAATAAAAACTTTTCTTGCTACTCTGCCTCCAGACAGTGCAAGTACGCACATGGTTGGTTTATTATAGTAATAAAAATAAACTGAGCCCCATGCCAATGTTTCTGAGTATAGGAGTTCCGACATTTTTCCTCTATGTTTATATCGTAAACGCAAACATATATTTATATTGGTATACATGTATCGGGTATAATCGATACGTCCGATGGAATGCCCTTATCTAAAGCAATATTTTTACCTAACTTTACTATGATTTCAGTATATCAGTAGGTACCCAATAAAGATTACCCTTATTATAAACTAGCGTTTTGTTCGCTTTCACGTGGTTTCAGAGGTATGAAAACCAATCAAGCAAACGACTTCTAGATTTATCAAGATAAAACATAAAGATAAATAAACACAAAATTTTAAGTTACACTTCAGGAACACAACTGTGAAAACCGCATCTAATTTATTGGAGTAGTTTTTGCATGAATCCGAAACGTACATATATATACATGCAGATAGATAAACAGACAGAGAGACAGAATTTCTAAAAATTATTGTTTAGGGGCTTTATTGATTTTATAGGGGCCTTACCTTTCATTCTATTGTTTTTTTTAAATATTTGCCATGTATGGCCATCGTCTAGTTACAATTGTTAATACAATTGTTTATTATTAGTAGTATTAATAGGATTAAGTATCACCTATACTGAAAGATAAGACTTGCGTAGGTGTGCAATAAAAGAGGATATTTATATTTTAATTTAAATATATATATATATATATATATATATATATATATATAAGTTACTTAGTAAAAGTAGTTTATACTACTATCTAAATATAGTGAATAGAAATTGGTTTGGCGCGGACATTTTATGAAAAGGGTTGAAAGCCGTGTAACTAAGAAAATGTAAATTTGAGAGTAGATTGATATATGTTAGGAGAAAAATAAATAATAAAAGATAGTGTGGCTACAGAAAGGATCTTATTAAAAACCTTCCGAGTATCAGTCAATCGATACAATAAAATGGAAATCTACACATAGAAATTCAAATATTTACGTTACGACTACTCTATAGATAGTTATTAATGTTTACCATGTTCATATGCAATGGTACTTTACAAATTTAAAATTGCCTTAAAAGTTAAGTACATAGGTCCACTGTGGCAACTATGGCTGTTAAAAAATTATACTTCATGATAAAAACTATTCCAGCACTTAAATAATAATTCTAGGACTTTTGTAGTTCAGACTTATTGTGCTTAATTCAATGTCTTTTATTTGTAATATTTTTTTTATGGGTGAAAATGATATGGTAACGGTAACCCCGCCTGCGCTAACGGGATAGATACGGCGGAGCACCAGTGAAGGGTGATAGATGAGAATGAAAACAGGTCAATTAGCCCATCATGATAAATTCATCAGAAATTAAGCATGACAGTTTCCAGGGGAAACCGCAAAGAAGTCGACCTGGTTGGGTATATTGCTAGCAATGGGATTCACAGTCTCCATTACTAACAATCCCTTTCCCCCCTCTATTTGCAATTTGTTTGATTGATTACAATATAGGAAACAAATATTGTTCCAATTCCAAGAAATTACAGAAAAAGATCTGAAGAGTTATGTGGATTAGTGTACGTACACTAATATTGATACGTAATAAATTCGAAGCTATGAATCATACGAATATGTTCTTATTGTTATTGCATATAGTTTTTCTTTGCCAACTAGTACTTACTACTACTGTTCGTGTACTGAAGGGTACTGCTTTTTATCAAAAACTATCTTTTAAAACCAAATTCTCATCGAACACTCGAAATTATGAAGCAGTTGAAAATTTTTGTTTTGGACTAGCTTCGATCTTGGAATTCCCGAACAGTCGTCTAGCGTTGTTTGACTACATTGTAATTATCTAGGCATACGCAATTTATTTAATTTAATATTTAGACTTCTGATACTAGTAATTATGATTTTATTATATATTAAATTAATTCTATTTATTCGATACAAAAAAAAACATTAAAGTAAACTCAGCGATTGATTGAACGAAGTAATAGATTAGATAATGAAGCTTTTAAGATTTCGAATTAATCGACTTGAGCCCTTCCGACAGCCTACAAACCTTTTCATTTTAATGTAGTCCTATTATTCTTGTACTTAAGTTGGTAAGTATTTTATAACACTGAGAAAATATATTTCATAACTGGATTCCAATAATATCAATTACGACACAATAACCGATAGTAAATGTCAATAATAACCGATTTCAGGAAGAACAAAGAAAATTTTAATTTCATGTCAATGTTTATTGTAAAGAGATTCTTTAATACCTATAGACATATAGCTGTTTGTAAATAAATACTATCTCACTGATAGATAGTAAATAGACAGAAAGACTTGTACAATTAAATATACACATTAGGTGTAATGAAACTGCGAACATTTTTATTAATAAACTGAACATACAATCATACTTTAACCATTACAGTTTCTACATCAGAGAATTTTAGATTTAGAGTAGTTATACTAAAATTTTTTACTCAACATTTGAACATAAATGAAGCATGCAAACGAGCTTAGGGGTAAAATTGTTAGGTGCGACTAAGAAACTTTCACAAACGACTTTGTACCTACCTAAAAGTTTTGCACTGGTAATGTAGTTACATCAACTTGTAAGTGATGCTTAGTTAATAATTTAGGATTTTTTCAAAACAAAAAATCAGATCAACCAAACTTTTAATTAAATTGGCTTATTTAATGTTAAAAATGATTATCAAAATAATTTCATACATACATACTCGTAAATATGAGGCACGCTGCATATACAGTAATAACGACATTTGTTTTTTTTTTTATATTTGACAGAATCTGAAGAATCAGATAATGACAACAAATCTGTGGGTAGAGCAATCGTGGTACGACTACAAGTTGCGGTGGGAGCCACGCGAGTACGGCGGAGTCCACATGCTTCACGTGCCCTCTGACCACATTTGGCGACCCGACATCGTGTTATACAACAAGTGAGACCAACACAAAACTGTATTCCAACTGCTGTACTGCTACTACTTATATACAAATAAACACTAAAACTTAAATTTTATCGGGTTTAGCAACGGTGCGAAACAAAGTTACTAGTAAAAAAACCGTTTAAAAATTGCAATTAAATATAACTTATTAAGAAGTACTGCAAATAATTATTTTATACATTACAATTAATTCTCCTACATTCTTCACGACTCTGGAACGCGCTTCCTGATGCCATTAAAAGACTACCGACTAAACTGTCTTTCAAAAAAAGCGTTCACGCTCACTTTTTATCTTTATCCGAGCAGTAAGTGCTTTATATTATTCCCAAATTCGTGTATAATATAGTATACATAATATATGTGTAAGTATATTTGTTATTCATATATATTTATTCGTTTATATATGTAATTTTAGTATGTATGTATATCAATAATTAGTAGTACCGCATTCGAGTATTCTGACACTTCCCTATGGTTGACTGGGAGAGAATGCTTTTAGCATTAAGTCCGCCATGTACACATATTTATACTGATGAATAAATAAATAAAAAAATATAATGTACTTGTACGTAAAGCTTTAACATCTTTTTAAAGAATTGAAAATAGTGTCGATAAAGTTCAACACAATATCTACTTGTACCTAAATTTATTAATTAATTGTCACACTTTTTGCACATGCAATATACCAACTTAAAGTTGGTATTCACAGTAAAAAAAAAACACAAATATCATAATAACTCTCAATAAATTTTTATTGGATACATTATAATCTGTTTTTATATTACTTGACATATTTATTAAACAATTACGTCTTTTTCGAAATTGCTCATTCTGCTTTGAATTAAGTAATTTTATTGTATAAAGATTTTTGGACTCAGATACACTGCAATAGATTTGGATAACATTTGGTACACAAATGGACTATATCTTAAATCAATACATATAATGATTATACTTTAATTAAAAAAATAAATAGTTTAAAAATAAAATAAATTAAGAAACACTAAATAGGTACACTTTATTGTTCCCTGTAATAGAAACTCATACGGTAGAATACTTAGCAGAAACAAAAATTACAGGAAATAGATCGCGCAGTTATCTGTATCATCTATTATAATTTTATACTAACGCATGATATAAAATATGAAAAATACACAATCAGTTGACACAAAAGCTTTTAGTAAGTATTAGATCTTGTTATTTCTGTAAAAAGACATAGACTCGTATTAAAATTGTTTACTAAATATGTCAAGTACCTATTCATGGAAAACAAATTATACAGTTCTTTTTCCTATGTAGGTAAGCACTTCAGGATACAAATGCTTCTTGAATAATACACGAGACAGCAAAGTATGTGTTTCGAAGCTGACGCGGTTAAATTGCAATGTAGCTACTAAATAGAAAATGAGATTTATGCAATAAGTTAATGATTACCAAATATACCGAATGGTCTTGGTTTAGAATGGGCCCTTCCTTTCCCGTCGGTGTCGTAAGAGACAAATAAGAGTACTAAATAGTCGAGGAATGAGCAACAGCGTCCCTCTTAAAACATCACCAAAACCTAGTGAAGGGCTATGTTCAGCAGTAGAGAGTTAACAACTGATGTTTGAATTTTATTACTACCAATAAAATTTCTAAATAGATCCATCTCATTGGTTACAATGTATTGTTATATAAATATATCAACCGTTAACTATCTACTGCTAAACATAGGCAGCCTTTGCGGCGGAACAGTTCTGCCATTAGTTGCCACGTTTGGCAGATGAATCGGCAACGGCAGTTAGACTGTGGTGATATTTTAAGATGGACGCTGCTGTTCATCCCTCGACTAATAAGTTCTCTTAATCATATCTTACGACGTCCACGGCCACGCTAGGAGTGGCTCGTTCTATGCAGGGACTACACGGCAATATTTATAAATATATATTCTGTATAATTTGCTACGTTAAAACAGTACCAAATATTTGTTTACTTATACTTGTATTAAACAGAACAAAGTACAAAGTTCCATCTTCTGAAGTAAGTTTTCTCAAGATACTTATCTATAAACTTTAAATATTTCGCCCATGGCCGTAGCTATGGGGTAGGGAGGCATTGAAAAACAATGCGCTACCTTAAAAAGCTTAATACCCTACCTTAAAATGAAAGGCACCAAGAAAATTAGATAGATTCGCTTTTTCGATGTCACTTGATTATGGCTTCTGCCCTACCAAAAAGTCCATTTGCCCTACCTTAAACTTGGGTCTAGCTACAGCCCTGATTTCGCATAATCATCTTGTCATGTCTATTATTAGTATTTTCTGTCGGCTTTATGAAATATTATACACATACTGAAATATTATAATACATTTACAGATTAAAAGAGCAGTTTCACATATTACTTTATGGACAAATTTATATATATTCGGTTCGCATTGTTGCTTTTGCCCGTTTTTAAATAATATTTACTACATTTTAAAAGTAAAAAGTATTTTTTTTTATTTACCTAGTCAATTAAATTGTATGTCGCACGATTAGTTGGACGAGTGAAATATTTACAAAAATAAAACTTGATTGTACTATTATATTAAATTAGGCATAATTAAAAAAATATTGTTATAATTATTTGTTATTATTAATAAATAAGATGGGCTAAACGATTTAACTTGGAATTTGACATACTTGTAGATTATTTGAGATAAATAGCCATTGATAACGCTTACGTTAACGTAGCTATATATTTATTTATAGTTCCATCTAATGACGGAGATTATAAATAAAAAACGACTAAAGGAATAAAACACAACAAAACAATGCAAAAAAGAAAAAACTGAAATAAAACTCTATACCAAGCCTCTTGGTCAGCGTAGACCTCGAGTTTCTTTGCTGATTAATATTAATGTAAAATACTATATATTATATTTTATATTTTTGGTCAACTCGTAGATAACGCTATAAAATTATTACCATATATTGATTTTTAAAGAATTCTCCGCGATATTTAATATACTTTTGCATGCGTTCAAACCAGTTTTTAAAACATTTATTCCACTCCGAAATGGGGGTAGTCAAAATGGTCGATTTGTATGCGTCAACAGCTTTTTCAGGTGAGCTGAAACGTTGACTACGAAGACTTTGCTTGATTTTGGGGAACGTAAAAAAATTGTTAGGGCTTAAGTCAGGGCTATAAGGCGATGATCTAAAATTTCGACATTTTAGGTGCTCAAAAACATCTTTGTTTGACGGGCGGTGTGCGAACTTTAATTGTCATGGTGCAGTATCATACGACGTCTTGAACTGTTTTTCCGAAAGTCGGTGATGACTTGTGGCAAACAAACAGTGGTATACCAGTTAGCGGTAACCGTCTTGCAATCTAATAGTACAATAGTGGCGACGTGACCACCCGTTGGCAGGCAATGATTTTTTTCGAAGTGCTCCGTGAGCGTATGACTTTAGTCGGTTTTGCCTCATCCTGGAAGACCCAGACAGTTGACTGCAGCTTAGAATCTGGATCGTAAGCATATATCCAAGACTCGTCACTATTAATCATATCATAAACATGCTTTGACTCGCCTCGGTTGAATCGCTGCAGAGTTTTGCAACACCAACTATCACGAGCTGTTTTAAGGTCGTCGCTAAGCAAATGTGGTATCTAACGAGAGATCAACTTTCTTACGCCAAGTTCTTCGTGCAGGATTTTTTGGTCAGTAGCCCCTGAAATGCCATTATTTCACGGTATGTCACATGACGATCTTCGAGGATTAGCTGCCATGACGGCTTCGATATTCTCTTGCGTCATGGCGGTTTTTGAACGACCTTCACGTGGCTTGTCACTGAGGCTAGAGCGCCCATGTTGAAATTCTATATATCAGCATTCTACAGTCCTAAGATATAGTACTGCATCACTAAATATATTGTAGAAGTGATCTCAAAGCACTGAAGTCGCGATAATCCCCTTTCAAAGTTGTAGAAAGTTATCGCACGCAAATTTTCCTTATATATTTCTATTTTTACAACCGACTTGTCAATAATCTTTCAAAAATTAAATCAATCAATCAAAAAATCTTTAAATAGATGATACAATAAAACTATTTGACCAATCTGAAAACATTCTTTTGTTTACGAATTTTAAATTCAAAAAGATGATAATGCCATTTTTTTTAATAACTCGGGAGGTTGGCTAACGACACGACTTAAAAGGCAGCCTTACGGTGAACTATGTTACACTATCTAGATGTATTAATTTAATCAACAAATAAATAGTATCAAGCTTTAATGGTAACGTATGGCATGAATTTACTGGGTACAGAGGAATAACATCTGAGTCCTCAGGAATGGCAACGCATGGGGCGGGTATCATGAGCGAAACAGTATACTCTGTTATGTCCATGGTACTGCTCATGTCTATAGGCGACGGTTACCACTTTCCATCAGGTGGGTCGTCAGCTTGTTTGCCATTCTAAGTTGTATAAAAAAAAAAAATACACTATTGAAGGTGTTGCAATATTTAGGTTTACATAAAAATAAATCGTTTTCAATCTTTCTGATGTCCTTTCTTTGAAAATATCATATACAGTACAAACTGTGCCTGGGAATCGTTCTGCGTTATTCAAACAAAAATTTGCTAAGTATCTCCCGAATTTCGGGACGATCGGAAGAGCCATAATGGGTAGCAATGGATTGATCCAAATTATTTCAGTTCCATTTTGTCCTATTGAAAGAATATCAACATCGTAATATAATAAAAAAATAATTGTCTATAAACATTTGAAGGTGAATTTATCTTTGGTGTATGTATCGGTGTTTGTTTTAATGATATTAAAAGTAAATAAAAATAGAATTGTCATACTTATTAGATTTTTAATTATAAATTGAATAGTACACTTTTCTACAATGATTACAAACATTAAAATATTGTTACAATTTATCTAAATCAAAATCGCTCTTTTATTTTTTTTTTATAAATTTTTAAATATTAAAATATCAAAACTTTATTCTGTTTGAAAGTACACATATGTTGGTAGAGTCCACCAATAATTTAAGAAAATAATAATGGTTATGAAATTTCAAACGCTATACAAAATTGAGACATATACCTAGTATATATAAACTACAGAAATTTACTTTTATAAAGATTTGAGCTGTTCGCGATATTTTACTCGTTCAACTAGTTATCCCTTATTCCTATAATTACACCAACACCCTTAAAAATTTATTCAAATGACATGAAATATTTAACAGAACTGTCAACAATCTTCAGTAATATATTTATAATAGTTGTTTAGTTTTTCAATTTTCTTTACACTTCACTTTAGTTCACGTACATACCTAATGTCGACAGTTCTGGTGATCCCATTACCATACATTATAGTATTTCATCACCAAGGCTTACTGATCTCATAAACTTGATTTACACTTACAAAAGAAAAGCACGCAACAACGCTAGCAAAACTGACAAGAAGCTATTCCTTGAAACAGAAAATGATGGCAGAGCGTCGCTGGGACGCGCAAAATGTTTATAGCTATATAAACCGCGGTTGTAAATCGAGAAAGGTATCTATTCGTCTGTATTCTATCTATATATTCAAGAACGAATAAGTACCTACTGTACCTAATTTAAAACAGAGTTTTCTGTATTACTAATAGACATGCAATACAATAACGCTCTCGTAAAGTTCGGTTTGTATTCTTATTATATCCAAAAAAATTTATAAATAATATTAAGCAGATAGGTGAAACTTTATGGAATTTGTTATAATCTCTCAAACTCACCTTGCCTAGAAATCTGTTCTAAAAGCTAAGGAAAGAAGTTGATGTGCCATTAATACCTTTAAACACAGTTCTAGTATTCATGCTATTGTAACTTCACATAGCAAAAGAAAAACTATGCATTTTAGTGTTTTTTGGTAGTCACAATTTATTTGCTTTTTCCCTAAATTCGATAGACTACTAAATATGTTTGTTACATTAAAGTTTAAAAAAGAGAAGGCTTGATTCGACTATTTTCTTTGCAAACAAAGAAAAAAATATGTTAAGCAATATCTTCGTTAAAATTTAAGTTTTTATAATAAATTTCATTAAACAAGCAGTTGATAGATAACTTCATTTGTTTGTAGTCTATTTTAAAGTCTTCAAAGGAGAGGATTATAATGTTTGATGGGTTTCTTTTTATTGTTATTTTTTTTATTATAAATAGGTATGTCACACCTAGATCATTGAGATTCCTATGCCTTTATGAATCTACTCTAAAACAGATTCATTTTAGCCATGGCCCCAATTCTAATTTTGCCACAATATAAAAACATACTCAAGCATTTTTTATTCATTTTTAATAAAAAAATTATAATACTAAAATTTTTTAATACATAGTATTACAACTCAATAATTCATAAATAATACTTACCGAGTACTGGTAATGAAATGAACAGCACGACCATCCGTAAAATGGTTGTATTTAAATAATCTATTTACATCAACAACAACAACAAAAATAATCTATTTACAATCTGCGCTTCGGTATTCAAACATAAGATATGTTTGAATACCAAAGCGCAGTAACTAAATATCATTCAAAATTATTAGTTCTGAGTTTTGCTATACTTCTATACACTCACTGTTCTTTCACAACAAATGCCTACTTAGAGCTATTGTTTACTATGTAAATAAATTATTTAAATACAACCGTTTTACAGATGGTCGTGCTGTTCATTTCATTACCAGTACTCGACCGTGATAATTGAGTGCACCATAAACGATTACAATTTATTTTGTTTTAAAAATATGAAATTTATTTACGTTTGTTTTATTGTTCTATTAACTCATTTCGTAAGTCTCATATAATTTATGTTTAGTTTAGATATATATAATGTGTTATGCCAATATTAGTCATATTTTATTATCTGTTTTAGGTTAATGGTGATTCTGAAATAGTCCATGGATTGAAAAAAATATTCGAAAGTTTGGAGTTTGGTGTAATGAAATTAATTAGTCATGTGAAAACTGATTTATCCGATGTATATAATAACACTATAAGCTGCGTGGAACGATTAATACATTGCGTAACTTAATCTTAATATAAATCTATCTACTGAGTTCTTATTTGTTTATTAAAGAAGTTATTAACATGTTACGTAATATTAAAGAAATAAAAAAAAAAGAAATCGGGGTATAATTATAACATTAAAAAGTGTTTTACAGTACACGAGGGAACAAGAAATTAGTGTAAAAGTGCCATCGTTTTGTTTGAGTTATAAGGCGCCCATTTTGTTCTGTCCACCATCTTCAAGCGGCAGACTTTGATAAATGACCCGGACAGCTATCGTTACTCATTTCCGATCCCTCCTCTACAACCTGTGCTCGCCTTTTTTCCGACTAATGTGCTCCTTTTTGCTTCTAACCCCAACCTTGGAGCAATACAACAGATGTCCTTTTGAATCACAGTGTTAGAGATCTCTTCATTGATTTCCTTACCCTCATCACCAATTTTCACGGCATTTTCATATCTTCTAGAGTAGTATGTGTTTTGATGTTTCTGATTGTTTCTTTGTTATGTTTATTAAAGCATATTTTAAAAGAGATATAAAATTAAAATTTATTTTTTTTTATAATACTGCATGTTTGTGTCTGATGTTGTGAATATATTATATATTGTAAACACAATTGATTCGTCACTGCGCTGTCGCTCTTGTCGGCCGTCGTTACAACTTGCGTAAATAACTGATGTGACAGGTGCATTTCCAGACTCTAGTCGCGCCGCCGAGCCTGTCAAACGACTCGAATGTAAATACTGCCAAAGAAATTTAATATTTATTTAGGTACCGTACCGTGCAATTTATTTAGTAGTGCAATGGAAAAGTCTTATTTAATGCGTATTTTTTATTTATAAAAGCAAAAAATAAAAGAATAAAACGTGTATCATTCCAGAAAAATATTAATTTGACTCGTAAGTAAAATAAAATACTTTTCAAATGTTTGGAATTTAAACAATCAAGGTAGGTGAAGAGATTATAATAGATATAAACTATAAAGGAATACCAGAACGCGAATTTTTAAATATGGAAATTACTTGAATACTATTTAAGCAAAATAATATATGCCTCGCATAATATATGTTTTACATCGCAAACTACGTAGCATTACATCTACACATATATATATACACATGAAAACTATACATAAAAGTCTTCATATAAGCAAATTTTACATCTAGGTAAAAACGTTATAATAACGTTAAATTACTTGTATACTTACAATAAATTTGTTTCACTAAAATTTGTAGTAAAGTAGCAATGTACATATACGTATAAAAATAGCAATACATTAACGCCGCGACTAATTGATTATCAACACATAACATGAAGGTTTTACAATAAATAATGCACAGTCAGTGCTACTCTGTCAATTAGGGACCGCGTGCCGGCATGTAAATGTACATTAACATTACAGTGCCGACGGCAACTTCGAGGTAACGTTGGCGACCAAGGCGACCATCTACCACCAGGGGCTAGTTGAATGGAAACCTCCTGCCATTTACAAGTCTTCCTGCGAAATTGACGTGGAATATTTTCCGTTCGACGAGCAAACGTGCGTTCTTAAGTTCGGTAGCTGGACGTACGACGGATTCAAGGTAATTGCGTGGAGCGCCGTCACTGCTCTCGCTGATCGCTCTGTTTGTCCGCAGCGCTGACGGCAACTACGAGGTGACGCTGATGACGAAGGCTACAGTCTACTACAACGGAATGGTGGTGTGGCAGCCGCCCGCCGTCTATAAATCGTCCTGCTCGATCGACGTCGAGTTCTTTCCTTACGACGTGCAAACCTGTGTGCTTAAGTTAGGCAGCTGGACATATGACGGTTTCAAGGTGACGCCCCGCCCCGCTGTACGCTGCTTGGTGCCGCGCGCGCGGGCCGTAGCCGTAGGGCCCGCCGCCCCGGCCGATGTCCATGCAATAAATAGCTTGTTGGCTCGAACGTAATTCGTCGTGTAATTATTATATTACTTTCTGTCCATGTGGTATGTTCACACTTTTACATATTGAATGTATATTACAACGGTGCTAGCGTAGAGGCGTAGAGCGCGCGTCTCGAGCCGCCGCCGCGCCGCCGCGCCGCCCGCTCCTCGCCAGCAGCTCCATTAGCTCTGACATGTTGCAAGTTTACATTTCTATTGCGATGGAACGATGATGTTTTAAAGTATGTGGAGTAGCGGTATGTCAACGTGCGTGACCTCGAATGCTCCAGATATCCTCGGCCGGTTCCACTTAGCTCAATCGGCCTTCCTCGCTCGACACGGAAAGGTATAAAATTTTAACTGCCAGGTGATATGGGATGCAAATACTTCACTCGTTCCGTTCCCACCTAACACCTCCTTTTCCGCTTGAGCCTTTCCGCGCTAAGTGAAATGTCTACATCATACCCGCAACAGTTTCACAGTGCGGTTTAGTTGTACATGATTATAAATTTGTATTTCTTCATATATGAGCCAACGATGCCTCGCGGCGCGGAGCGGCATCACTCGGAATACCTACTCACACCATCCTTTAGCTGGCTCCGCTCGCGCCATACACACATAACACACTCATACACAAAAGCTTGTTGCATGTTTCCCATACAGTTGATGTACACACAATTCACCGCATGAATCCGGCTTGACTCCAAACCACTTGCATTCCCGATCACGGCGGCCGCTAGCCGCAAGACACGGTCTTGGCTCTTACACAGCTTTACACGATACCTACACGCGAACAGGTTAAGCACAGCACGTGAAATAAACAAAAATGAAATTCACACTTTGGCTCTATACACTATCGAGCATAAACAACCATCATGATGCATATTTTATACCTTTCCCTATTAGCGACTCCTACTGGCTGTACGATTTCGGTGTCGCTGGCCACCCATTGCATGATTGTCAAAATTAAAAGAAAGACAAGTTATCCTACTCAAATTCAAACACAAAGTCCAGCACAAAAAACTTATAGATGTTACAGTAGTGTTAACGTTTCCTCAATCGAAGTATGAGTTTGACTTATATTTCAGTTCATGAAACGTTTTCTGCATGCTAATAGGTACTACACTAAATCCAAGCTAATACTTGTTACCAACAACATTTCCCGTAATCGTATATAAGAATTACGCCTTTGTGAAATAAGTAAGACAAGATCTATAAAAGTTGTTGGAATCAGGTGTATAGCTAACCCGATGGACGCCCGCCGCGTCCGCGCGACACACACAAGCGCGGCGGAGCCGGTGCGCCTCCAACCTCCTTTTTAGATTTTTTGACGACTAGCATGTAGCGATTACGTTATCTTGGCGATACATTTTAGTGGCTGTCAGATAACGTACAGTTTCATGTGATGGCGTCATTAAATTCTGAATTTGGAGACAGTTTCCATCCTGAACTCTCGTCGAGGATTCCATGACCTTTTGTTATTGTTCGGTGTTTTCTGTGTTTTACGCGTTGTTATTTCTTCGCATGTTCGAAATATTGTTGTGGCATATCTTCCATGAAGATATATGTTACGATGTATCGTAAAAGGTTTCTCACAATTTAATTTGTCGAAACAGGTACATCCTACTTGGCACACTCTGTGATTTATTTGGTTTAGAGGTATCCTCTGCAAAGGTTATATTGACATTTTATGTTGAAATTAGATAAAATATTCGACCATATAGTTGTCTAGTTGCATCTTTTTAAAGTCTCTGTGATGGACGATGATATAATATGGTTTCGAGATTAGGTAACGTGCAATAATTATTATAGCTATATTTACACATTGTGTGACAGGGTGCATGTATCAGATAAATAAATTTATGGAACTAAACTTCATTTAAAAATATACTATAAAAATAGTTTTAATAACATCTGAATCACAATAAAATCGCACTAGTGCATCACATCAAAAATAATATATACTACAGAATTTTATTATATATAACATATATCCTCGCTGTTATTAAAAATTACCTACAGTAACAGATACATATTCTAAGATAAAACTATATTAAAACATTTATTTTTGCTGTATGTACGTAGTGCCCTTTGAGTAGAATTAAAATAAAAATAAAAAGTCATCATAATCCCATGAATACTTATTTAAAACTATCTCAGTAACATATATGAATAATAATATCTTAAATTCTTTATTGATGTTTGTATGAATCCTCGGTGTTTTGTTATACATATTAAATATTTGATATGTAGAATGCTGTTTTGATATTAGGTTATTAACATGTATGTAATACATAGTTCATGTTACATTTTAATTTATTAAAATTGAAATAAGCTTGCGATTAAACAATGGAATTATTTTGAGATATAATAATATGATAATTGGTAAATTTTTTTCTGAGAATGTGTGTGTGTAGGTGGACCTGAGGCACATGGATGAGCAGGCTGGTAGTAACGTCGTCTCCGTGGGAGTTGATCTCTCAGAGTTTTATATGTCCGTTGAATGGGATATACTCGAGGTTCCAGCAGTAAGGTGAGCTTTTACTTCATTGACATACCTATCTATTTTTTAAAATACTTATATTTGAATAAATATAATATTTGATGATAATAAGATATTTGTAAAAAATAAGTAATTTATAAACTTCTTCCACCGGGATCGTATCATACGTTGGTAGAGACTAACAGAATTGCTAGAATAAAATATAATAATTTCTATATACCTACAGATAATCCTAGTACTGACCAAAGTTCTCCTCCCCGTTTGTTCATATAATTTTATTTTTTATTGTACTATGTTATCAAAGTATCGTCTCATGAATGCCATTTGGCAATTTTTTTTCTAATAGATAAAGCTTTTAAGTATTATTCAAGAATTATTATCACATTAAAATCTTATAAGTCATAATAGTCATAGAAGCACCTAATAGAAAAAAAAAATTCTAATAGGAAAATTCATTATTAAGGGCATATTCGTTTTTTATGGGTTACCAATGCACGCGTAATATCCCTAGTGTTACAGGCGTTCATAGGCTGCAGTAACTCCCTTAACCATCAGACGGGTCGTATGCTTGTTTGCCATCATAGTAATATAAAAAAAATGCACGACTGAAGTCTCGTGTAAAAGCTAGTAAGATATAAATATAAAGGAAAGTTAATGACTTGCTTTATGATATTAAGATGTCAGGATATTATTACATTTACCACATATAAACATACCTACGTACGAGGTAATAAACTGAACTCATGGCTGTCTTTCAACGATAATAATATGTTTCCTAACTCCACTCCCCCACATCCGGACGCTCTCTGTTCCTGTGCCTACATACCTATATATTAGATAAGTCTTTGATGAACACAATTTGGTCAACATCTAATGTGTAGTATAGTATATAATAGTTTATACACGCAACTTTTATTCTTTTTATTCCAATAAAGTGAACGCTGTCTAAGGGTGTGTATTGATGAAGAGTATTCGGGTTTAATGTAACAAATGAAAATGAACATTATTTGAATGCTTTAATTTTGTAGTTCGCCTGTGGAATCAGTGCTTCGGGGATGATATATACTTAAATAATATTTCATTACTAGCTGTATCCTACAGCTTTGTCCATGTTAATATGTATAAAAATACGCGTGAATCAAGATTGCGGTCTATCTAAGTGGCGAACATTCAAATTCGTTTAGCCGTTTAAACATGATCATCCAAACATACAAATACGACTCACCTAATGATAAGTGACTACCACCACCCATGAGCGCTTGTAGTACCAGAGGCATTGCATGTATACTGCCGGCCTTTTAGAAAGGAATATGCTCTCTTCTTAAATATCTTTTTCTGAAAATGTTTTTTTTATGTTTCTAAAAAAATGAATTAAGTTATTAATTCATTATGCAAAATGACGTTTCCAAATATGTTTCCGATAATAAATTTTAACTTAATTTAAAAGATATATACAGTGTTTACATATTTGATACGTAATCTACCATACCTACCATAGGTATATATGGTAGATAGGTACCATATTCTACACTATTGCCTCGAGGTGACAATTTCTATGTTTCGTATACGAATATGGTACCTATGTATATATATAACTTAGTAGCAAAAATATTTGTAAAGAACGAGAATAAGAAAATATACCCGGAGAATTTACTTTTACTTATATTGGAGCGACCGATATCGAAGAGACCACTGATAATTCGTAATCACACAGATAATATATTGTATTAGGCTGGTTTTGTTAGATATGTTTATTATCGGGGGTAAAAAAACTATTTATTATACAAAAATATTTTTAAATCATTTTCAACAAAAATGAATAATGTACTAATAATTATCTCTCTTATTAGAATTTGAGGCTGGTTTTATATAAATATTGTCAAAGTTTAGTTTATTTTATATATTATTTTTAAGGCGGATTCAAAGTTTTTCAGTCAGTTGATTTAGATTAAGAACATAGAAATACAATAAAAAATAGAGATGTTTGCTCTAGTATTGTTGAACATAATTATTCAACGGATTGGAACGTGCTTTCCGCTACGTGAAATGAGAAATTGTAGCGTAGCTTGAATATTTGGATAGTATGTTTGACCACACTTAAGATTCAATAGTCCTTAGCAGTTCTCTTACTAACTTCAAGTACATAACATGACCTTATAAAGTGTTCGTATTGTTGCATCATATATCGAGTTTAACTGTAAAAGTTATATATTTATATGCGATTAATACAATTATATACAAAATAACATTATAGTCAGCAGAATAGTACATATTTTTTTTTATACAACTTAGAATGGCAAACAAGCTAACGGCCCACCTGATGGAAAATAGTAATCGTCGCCTGTAGACATGAGCAGTACCATGGACATAACAGAGTATACTGTTTCGCCCATGATACCCCCCATGCGTTGCCATTCCTGAGGACTCAGGTGTTATTCCTCTGTACCCAGTAAATTCACGCCATATCTCACCCTTCAAACCGAAACAAAGCCATGCAAACACAACTGCTTCACGGTTGAAACACGAATGGGACAGAGGTAACCAAACAATCGACTTTTGTACAAAGTCTCCTTCTGATAATATATGGTATATTAATATGCGTATAAATTATGGTTTTTACTGGAATTATTTCTAATTAGTTAATTTCATCTTCATACAGTTTAATTTTTTGTTATTAGTTTAAAGAAATCTTTAATTATTAGATTGTAGAAAACTAATAAATGAAATTTAAAATATTTTCAAAGATGAAACTTCTCTAAAACTGCATAAAATAAATAAAGAATATAATAAATTCTCTATTTATTATATGCAGTTTTTATACATCTCAGAATAGCAAAAATCAATATCATCTTTGATCACCTGATGGAAAATGGTATCTGTCGCAGGAACACACGAACAGCACCATGGCTTTTATAGATCATAATAAAACGTCCATAGCAACATAGATATTGAATATAGGCCTCTTCCTAGGGGGATTTGCCAGTAGTTGCCGCGCTTGGCAGACGGGTTAGCAACCGCAGTTACGTTTTGGTGATGTTTTGAGCGATGCTACAGGTCATTTCTCGACCATTACTACCATGACTAAAGTGTTATGTCTTCGTTTTTTAACTAATTTCACTGCCATATTCGATAATAAAAATACTCTTAAGATTGTACCTATTTACTGATATTTTAATATGGCTTAATTATTTTTATTTTGTATCATTATAGACTATAATGCTTGACGCCAAAAATTTGAGTGAAATGGAAATAGATATCCATGCAGTTGAAAGTCGAGTTTGAATAAATTTCCCTATGATAAAATCTTTACGAAAAAGAAGGTGTAATATAAAATAACAATATAAATTTCAAAAATCCTAAAAATATGTGCTATTATAAAGTGGAAATTTATTAAAACACATCACCATTTAGATCAAGGGTTAATATATATATAATTATAAGCATTATGACATAAATTTAAATTATGTATATGTTATCAAAATAATTATGTAAAATAGTGGTCAGAATATAAAAAGAAACTAAAATTATGATTTAAAGTGTTAATTTTAATTTCCATTTATATTCTGATTATATGAAGGAATATATATCAAAAGAAAATAATTAAACTTGTAAGTTGGGTTTTAGACCAAGGATGGACACGAAAAAACCTACAGCATACCGCATGTGGCGCGTGTAAAAAATTTTTTTACATAGTAGTAAAAACAAAATGTTATTAAATAAAGGTAATCACATTTCAATGAAATGAAATGAATACAAATAAAGCTAGAGACATAGCGACAATCGAGCAGTCATCGGGCTCTCGTGCAGGCGCGGTCGTCCTCCGACCCTCGAACACACGAGTGTTGTTATTAAGCTAACACTCACCTACACATCACTTTTACGACGTGTATCCGCTTTTCTACGTTAAGCTTCACTAAAAGAGCCCCATTTCGCACTTTTATCACAAAATGTTCACCTTTCCTGATCTAATAAAAATAAATCTAATTCGAAGTTCGCATGACATACATAGGTAGGATACTGTTATTAGGCATGAAATAGCAAAATTATGGAATGCCATTATATGAAGTCTTATTTTAGAAAAGCGCAAATTAAAACAATTGTACTGTATTTTAAATTATAACATAAATACTTTTTTAAATTTTAAATTCCTTTAGCTTACCCCGAGTATCACAAATCTGGAATTTTCATAAAATTTTAATCGTTTATTGAAACTGATAAAATCTAATATTACAAGACAACTTTTTATTAGCATAGTATGAGTAATAGTACTAAGTATTGATTCATGATTTATCTGATAAATTTTCTGTTCAATCATTATTTAAAAAAATTAAGACCTTAAAATATAAAAAATGTATTTAATAGTACAATGTACTCTCAAGGGAAACTATACTATAGATAGGACAAATATTTTTTCTCAGTACCTAAGTCCTGAAACGATAATGGTTACCCATCAACGTTCCATGGTTATTACATGACTACATGTATAGTTACGGTAATAGCATGAAGTCTTCAGTTGAGTTTACATATATATGTATAACCGTTTAAGACTAGATTTTATTAGAGGGATAGTTTGTACAAAAGTCGAATATCGAGTCGAATAATATAATAAGTAATTCTATTCCAGAAGTGATTCTACTATGAAGAATTTATGCTTAAGTGTAAAGGGTGAAATATAGCTGCCATCAATCTATTTGTCATTCTTAATTGCATTCTTTTTATTTATAGTATAAATTATATTCATGATATAATTCTGTACTGTGTAATATGAACAGTTTTAATATTAGATGGAGGTTGGAAAATATGTGAAAGAACTATACATATTGCCGAATAATAACTATAGTGAGTCATACTGTATTGTATTTATTTATGTTGGCTTTACTCACGTTTTAAATTTGGGGAAACAATGATATGAACTTTAGAAGGCAGGAGTGATTTAACTACATGAGAATATCCAATTAATATTATAAATTCAAAAGTTTGTAACGATGAATAGATGAATGGATATTTATTACTCTTTCACGCAAACACAAAACGCAAATGGATTTGAAAGAAATTTGGTATAAGGATAGGTTATATTTTAACTTAGCGCATAGGATACTTTTAGTACTTATTAATGTGGGCAAAGCCACGGGACACAACTAATAAATAATAATAATGTGAGATTATTCGTTCACACTTATCAAGATTGAGTACTTTGTTTTTATTTTCGTTAACAATCTTAAGTATGTATAATGAAGTCGATACAAATAAGACGTGACTATATCTATCTATTACGACAAGATCCAATTGGATCATTAATTATGCGGACATAAATAGAATTTCGATTAAGTACTTACCTATTCAACTGAGCGACATTTTTAGAATCTGTCCTACTTTCGACATAATTGAATAAGAAGGCTGTAAGAAAACGATAGAGTCTTTAAAATGTAATTAGGTACTTAGTTTTGTTTAAATAAACCTTTTTTTTTTAAATATAATACTTATAATAATTAAGGCTTAAGAAGAAGGGCCCAGACTATTTATTTTTATGGTATACGAGTAGATATAATATAATTCGTATGTACTTATTTAATGCTCACGGCTCGCGTCACTGGTAGGTAATAGTTTAAAAGAACATTCACTTTAAAAATGATCCCATTATTACCCGATATCTTGACTTTACAGAAAACAATATATACTTCTTTAAAAATTGCCCCGCCATAAAATGGGCCACCCCTTCCTTTCCCGTGGATGTCGTAAGAGACGACCAAAGGATGAGCAGCAGCATCTTAAAACATCACCAAAATCGTAATTGCGGTTTCCATTCCGCTTGCTAAGAGTGACAAATACTGGCATTACTCACCTTATGTGGGAGGCTTATTATTCAGCAGTGGACAGTTAACGGCTGATATAAATAAAAAAAAAATTAAATACCAACTTGAAAATTCTCTTGATCTAGCATTTGTTACGTGAAATAAGAATTCTATTGCAGCTTTAAAACTTTAATAGTCCAATTGACTACTCTTAAGATTTAATAGTCCTTAGTAACTCTCTAGGTGAGTAAAATCACATGACATAATCCTATGAAGTACTCGTATCCCAGCGTCATATAAATTATTTTCCGGAAGGAAACGCACGAGAAATTAAACTGTAATATTTAAATACTTATATCCGATAGATACAGTCGTACAATGGATAAATATAGACATTACATAAATAATACTTATTCATATTGCATTAAAATATATATTCGAATGTTCTGAGTTCAAAAATATAGTTGGAGAATATTTCTCAGATGTCGCACCACGGCTTTGAATAGGACTGAAAAAATATTATGGTATTATTGTGAGTTATAAACCGCTATAAGATTATTATGGTTCGGTATAGCTTGTTACATGATATAAGAAATGGATAACGTGTTCCACTATACTCCCTTATACAATACTTCTTATTTGCGATAAAAAGTATCCTAAGAGCATTAAAGCCAACCTTTGTTTGATTCATTGACGATGCCGAAAGAATGATAAATGTATCTAATGAAAGTGTCTACTTCTAATTCAGCTATTAATTACTAATCCCAAATCTTGACTTAACTCACGTAAGACGAAAACTATCCTAGGTATTAAGATATATCTAAATGATCCATCCATGTATCTATCCAATTATTCTAGAATAAAGGACATAAAATACAATCTTTACAAATTTTCAATTTTATAATATCATAGTAAGGTTATTTCATTATGAAATGGAACAAATTCATATTATGTAAAATAAAAGTATATTTACCTACCCAATATAAAATTGTCATGAGTCGTGACCGTACTTGGGTGCTGCCTATAAAAAGAAAATATGCTTTTATGGCGCACTTTACAAAATTACTTTCTTCCATCATTTTTAATGTTTAAATTGAATTGTTAAACCACATACCACAATTAGAATGTGGGTAAAATTATATATAAGGAACATATTATAAGCATAATTATATATCAATATTATTATTATATATCAAGCTAAAAGATGTCTCATCAAAATTTATAACTTTTTAATTATTATAGATGTGTGTATGTATGCGTGTGTATGTGTATGTGTGTGTGTGTGTGTGTGTGTGTGTGTATATGTATATATGTGTATGTGTATGTATATATATATGTGTATGAATGTATGTATGTATGTGTATGTATGTATTTTGCATATATAAAAACCGATCATTGTCATCACGCAAATGTGAAAACGATTCATGGCTTAACATAGATATAAATTTGATTATGTATTGACTGTAATTCAGCTGTACGTTTTCCAAAAAAAAAAAAAAAAAATAAATAAATAATGACAACTTTACAATTTTAGTCTTACTTGTACGTATATACAGTGATATTTATTCTTTTAAGTATAAAAACTTTTCTATCATACTCTTGATTATATCATTATTATCTTTATTATTACATTTCACGTCACTTTCATAGGTATCTTGTATTTACTACATAGAGCTCTTTACGCAATATTTCTAGACTTTTTTTTTGTTACAGAAACGAGAAATTTTACACGTGCTGCGACGAGCCCTACCTGGACATCACGTTCAACATAACAATGCGGAGAAAAACTTTATTTTATACTGTGAACATTATTATTCCATGCATGGGGATTTCATTTCTCACAGTCCTTACATTTTATTTACCCTCGGACAGCGGGGAAAAGGTATTCATGCGTTTGTTATTTTAAGTACTATTATTTTTTATTTCAATGACTTTCCGCAAATTCTATTCGAATTAACGAGCATGTCGTGGCTTTTATGAATTTACTTGAGGTCTTTTAGCATTTCCTGTTTCGTGATAATATACATCTCATGTTTGAAATTTTTAAATCTTACTAATGTACCAAACGATGTCTGTACCTGGGAGATATTTAAGAAAAATTTATATAAGGGGAAATAAGAGCGACAAAAGCTGAAATAATAGTTTTTAGAAATTTTGTCTGTCTATCTGTATGTTTGTTTCGGTATCACACAAAAACTACTACAGCAAATTATCTACGGTTCATAGTTGTATTCCCGAGGACCTAACTTAAAAATTGATATAAGTTTTATTATAATATACCATCTAGAAGTGGTCCATTAAACTGCTTTTACTATTTCTGAAATTTACACAAATGATGTAGCGGACAGAAAGTTAGTAAATACCTAGTAATTAAACTGAAAGCATCCACACTTCCATGCTAGGAGTAAGTAAAGAGGAAACATATGTTCAATTATTATTGATAATCGATCGATCTTCTCAAGCCTTCCATCATCATACCTATTAATATGACTCATCCCAGTTGAAAAAATAATTTACATATAAAGGTAATGGTAAACACAACAAATTTATTCGGGAGACAACAGTCGGCTCGATGTTATTGGATTTAAAAATGTTCAATAAAATGCCTGAGGGAAAGTAACGTTCTATAACTCTGTTAGTTATATATGTATGTAGTATTAGTTTTACAACAAAGGCGTGTCCTTAACTACCACCATCCCGATCGAGTATTAAATAGTTTTATATGTATGCATAAATACATCGGTATAAAGATATATCTGTAAACAAAATTTTGTTATATTGAACTAATTGTCGATTATACTTTGGCATACAAATATATTATTAATAAATAAAAAATATTAGTATGTACTAAATTTGAATCACTCAAATATAAAACAATCTTATGTTAAACGCTAAAAAAACAAAATGTGTTAATTTCTCTCTGTCTAAAAGTTTTAATACTAATTGCAATATTAAATTAAATGACGAATCTCTCGAATTTATAGAATCTACTGTCTTTCTAGGAATCACACTAGATAATAAAACACAATGGGGTGCACAAATTCAAAGCCTTGCAGCGAAACTAAGTTCAGCAGCTTTTGCCGTGCGTAAAGTTAGACAGTACACTGATACTGATACTGCTAGATTAGTCTATTTTAGTTATTTTCATAGTTTACTCTCTTATGGAATATTACTATGGGGAAAAGCGGCAGATATTAAGAATATATTCATATTACAAAAACGTGCCGTTCGAGCGATCTACTGTATGAAGAGTCGTGACTCATTAAGAGAGAAATTCAAAGAGGCAAATATTCTCACCGTTGCTTCTCAATTTATATATTCAAATATCCTATATGTTCATAAAAATCTTGACTTATTTCCAAAAAACAGCAATATTCATAATATTAATACTAGATTTAAAGACAAACTTGCTGTCCCCAAGTATCGTTTAGAAAAAGTTAATAGGTCTTTTATGGGAATAGGTATAAAAATTTACAATAAGATACCAAAGGATATGTTGAAATTACCCTTAAATAAATTCAAAACATCTGTTAAATCATATTTACTGAGCAAAGCCTATTACTCACTAAACGATTACTTGAATGACGAGTGTGCATGGCAATAGTTGTTCATGCACTGAATTTTCATTTAATGTTAGACATAGACACCTATATAAATATACATTGTAAATAAACTGGCTTTAAAAAAAAAAGTAATTCAATTGAGTTTCTTGCCAGTTCTTCTCAATTGGATCTATATACCGAACTGGACGGTAGGGAAAATATAAAATTATAATGTAAAAATTTGACGTTCATAAGCGGCTAAAATGTCCTACATGAATAAATGATTTTTGAATTTTGAATTTTGAATTTTGAACAAACAAAATGTGTTAAGTAATAATACACAATATATAATCAATTAATCCAAAACTTTTCTTGCTATTTATTTTAAAATACCGTTATTTTAATAAAACTACAACAAATACCAAGACCAGAGCGAGGTATTGTACAAAGGTCTTCTGTATGGGTACCTCTGTCACACCTGTTTCTGCCATGAAACAACTGAGTTTGCATGGTTGTGTTTCGGTATGACGGATGGGATATTGCATTGAAATTACAGGAGACGTAGGTTTAAGATAAGCTCTGCAGAAATAGTAATGCATGAAGGGTACCGTGGGTAAAGCAATATATTTTATGACGTCCATGGTGCTGTTTATGTCTATAATCGACTGCTATTATAGTCCATTAGGTGAAATGACATCTTTATTTTTTATTAAATAGGTCGGTACATAAAAAAAACAAGTCATAAAAACGGGATATAACTTAAAAACTATATAAAAAGATTGACTTCAACTGTATCATCGACAGTGGTATTGCACGTGACATGTCTGTAATGAAGTGTCGTCATGGAAATGTAATTAAAATAATCCAATTGCTTGTTCACCCTGTGATGTTGATCTTGGCTTCTAACTTTTAACTAAAATTCTGAGCAAATTATATTATTACCTATCATAATGTATATAAGTATTATGTGTTTAGGTATTTACATTGAAAAAAAAAATAGTAAAAATAGTAAATTCTGTATACGAAAAGAAGACAGTTGTAAGAATCTTTCTCGATGATTATAACGACGGATATTTAACGAAGTCAAACTCGGACCGCAATAGCTCGTACGTGTCATTAATTTCGTATTATGTATTATAATAAATAGCTCGAATAAATTAGATAGACAGCTAAGTAACAGCGTGAATAACATTGCAATAACGACGTCGTTACGTGGCCCGTGAAAAATTACACCGACGTTATTGGCTTTACTTTTCCGCTCTTTGAATACCAAATGATAGATACTGAGACTGTCATCAATCAATATCACACTCGCCTCAGAATCATCACCATGGTCAATATATACTTAGACAGTACTCTTATCTTACTTTACTACTATCCTTTGTTGATACCGCAGTTTTATAGATTTGTGTTATTATTTTTTTTCAGACGATATAAAACAAGATTTGGCGAGAGGTTTTTTAAAATGACTGATTTTAAATTAAGTTAATGTCTAAATTTACCTATATATTCTCCTATTTTTTTGTCATTATAAAGAGTCTTCAGGGGAATTATTCGGATCAATACCAACTACTAAATTTTATTACCGTACAGTCCGTCACAAGCTAAATTTCTATCCAAACCATTCGAATGACTGCTGGTCCTCCACCGCACACTTCTATAGACACTTTCTTCCATGCACAACCAAACTATGGAATCAACTTCCAACAAATATTATATTCCGAATAGATACGACATTGAAATCTTAAACATGTTATGGATGCCTATAGGCGGCGATAAATACTTATCAATAAATTATTAATAATTATAAATTAAATAAATTGCCCCTATGTTATGAAAAAAAAAACACTTGAATTATTTTCTACTGCCGAAAAATTTATGACAAATTTAATTGCTTATTAAATATAAAAAAAGTAAGAAAAAGTATAAAAAAGGTATAAAAAAGTAGTAACAAAAATAAAGCAGAAACAAAGCTGTTATTACAAGTTGTTATTTCTATAACAATAACTCAAGCTAAGTTATTTGAGACTGTAACAAAACATTTAATTTTGCTTTACTTTAATCGTTTTGTTACCCTTCCGAAAATCTACCTGGCTTTCTATTTGCAGTTTCCTTATTAATTTCTTCCTGCTGAAAATTGTATAAACGTAAACGGTACTGTCGAATATAATTCATTCTATTATTATGTATTATTTCCGTACCTAACCTACCTACATTTATGATGACAAGCTTGTCAGAGCTGTCAGTCGCCACCTATTACGAGAACGGTAAAGGTAGGAAATTGTATTTCACAAATGCGTTTAACGAGACTACCTCATCCTCTCCCCAGGGGATCATAAATAACTAAAATAGTATTAGTTTTTCTACTGTAAGTGTATATAACTTTATTACCCATATAATAAATAAAGTGCTCGTTGCATTAGTTCTTATTTATTGTAGTCATATTATAAAATGAGAATAAAGTAATCTATAATATAAAGCAATAATATAAATAAATATAAAACAAATTTTCACATCAAAACTTTAAACACGAATAAATTTATTACGTATCAAAATTAAGTTTATTAGAGTAGACTTATACCTGTTCAATGAATTTATATTAAAATTTAATTAATCTGTTAACATTAACGTTTATTAATTGTAACATAAATGAAAATATTTATATTGATATAAAAGTTATATTTGTAAAAATATAACTTTTATATCAATATAACGCATACTTACAATCTCTGACGGCTAGTCCATTTTACTAGAATATTTTGATGTAGATACCGATGATTCTCAGTTTGTTCGCATCTTGCAAAGTGTATTCGATTTCAATATAACAGACGGCAGTTTTAGTATAACGTGTTGTCATTTAAAATATAATTTATTGACAGTCTTTTTAAATTACTGAAGAGCTACTCGTAGTTGGAAATTAAAAATTAAATAAAAGTTTTATTTTTGGTATAATCAGCAAGTCCATCTGCTACTATTTGTAGATTATCTATTTTCATGCTATGTTCTCAAGAATGTCAAATAATGACATAGAAATACTTATAATCATCTAATCAATTCGAATAACAGAAAAATGCTTTTCATTACATTTGTTATTTTATTTCACAAAGATAAGATTTTTCGTGAAATTGGAACGTATTGCGCTTCGCTAGTCTAAATAGAAATATGCCGTCAGCGTTTTTCACGATAACAACGGTTCAAGAGGAGTGTGGGGCTTACAATAAACTCATATAAGGTTTGAATCCTATGTGTATCGTCCTAAAGTCGAATTTTGTTCGTAGCTATTACCACAATTTTCATATGTGATATTCTTTGTTCATAGCTTTGCACATGCAATTAAAGAAACAACGTTGATACGTATACATATTGGGGTTGATTGACGAATACCATTAAACGAAATTGAGTAGAGCTTAATAAGGGACTTGTAGATTGCTTGATGTCGAAATTATCTAAACATTGTGTGCTCTTGATTAAACAAATAATGAAGAATATGAAAGATGGAAAGGCCTGAAGGTAGTTAGATTATATTGTAATCTTTGAAGAATTATTTAAAATTCTAGGACTATCAATGCATAATGCATTCGTATCTATACTACTACAAACATTATAGCCGACAATTATACCGTCAATAATTGGATTCTCGTTAAAACAAATCGTTGTACATGAGCCGTCAGCTTGTTTACCATTCTGTGTGATACAAAAAGTTGTCTGATTGAATTTACAACCTATTTATGTTTATTGACAGGTGACGTTATCAATATCGATATTGATTAGCCTCCACGTGTTCTTCTTGCTGGTAGTCGAAATCATCCCTCCAACTTCGCTGGTTGTGCCCCTACTGGGAAAATACCTCATATTTGCCATGATTCTTGTTTCTATCAGGTAAATATTGAATGTTTATACATGTAAGTACAATATATTTTATAAGGAACAAGTATAGGTAACAAAGTATAAAAACTTGTAAAATATCATTTTCTTCCACTTTATGGCCAGTCTATTGATGTTCTTGTAATCTGTACACTTTCACAATAAAAATAAATCTAACACTACTACATATGTATGCAAATTATATAATTTTATAATTTCGATCTCTAGGTACGTATACGTACATAAGTACTATAAATTCTGATTGTATCATATGTATAAAACAAAATATCTTAATTTTCAGAATGGCTGACTCAAGTCGGCTGTCATGAGCAATATAAAACTTATGTTCGGTGATGACGACCTTTACAATTGTAATGTTTAAAAAATTGTAAAACACTTCTAAATATCTTAAATTTACTATCCAATTCCACGTTCAAAATATAATATTTCAACAATATTAATTAATCGTCAGAGATGTGTAATTATACGTAGATACATATTTGCACACAGTTGATTAAAGCCGGCTTGATTCAATAAACCCAAGTTTATAATTTGTTTCTGTCAACAAAGTTTAAGATCTTAATTACCTAGTTGTACAATGTGTGACATGCTACCTACTTGCTTGTATATTTTTATCAATAAAGTCTTTTTTTTTTAATTTATTAATGTTTATATAATAGGTATTTATTGTTCAGTGCATGTAAGAATAGAGATCATATGGTTCTACTGCCTACTCCAAAAGAGAGTTAGCGTGAAGAATAGTAATTAATAATTCGATAATAATTGATTAATTAATATAAATAAGTATGATTCTAACATCATTCACGATTTATATATTATTACATATGATCATATGGGTAAGGAAAAATCGGAAAATCTTAGCGCTGTTTACATTGAGTTTATGTAACATAAAATACCTAAAAGATCAAAACCTAACCTACATAGCAATGCCACCTTATAAATAAAACTAAATTACTTATTTAAATATGGCTCGGTCGGACCGTTTGCAAGTTACGCCATTACCATATAAATTAAAAGCCAGTTTTCCAAACAAGATATTTGATTGCTCACTTTAAGTTCAAAGAAAATTTACATTTTCACAAAAATATTTCATGTAGGTATCGAAAAACTAAATATTACTTATAATGAAAAATATTTTGTTAATAACTATTTAAAATAATCCATAACACAGGAGGAAATCAATCTGATTCCGCGGTTTGATATGTTTTAGTCAAATTTAAATAATTTTGGCACACTAGATGAAAATTAATAACACAACTTTCAAATAAACTGTACATTTTGAGATAAAACCTATCCTATCTAACCCTGTTAGTAAATGGATTTATAGGACTGGGCAAATAATGTAATTTATTCACATAAACTCAAAGTATTGCGAAAACTTACATTTTTTATAAATATTTGGGAATATTATTAGAATTTGTAATTTCTCAAAAAGTTTTTAACATCTGATACAAAATTTGTTCATGCTTTCAAATATGGTGAGGGAGATTGCCAGTAGTTACCATATTTGGCTGGAGGGTTGACAACCACAGTTAGGCTTTGTTGATGTTTTAAGAGGGACGCTGCTGCTGCTCTGTCGATTATTAAAATCCCTTAGTCGCCCCCTACGACACTCACGAGAAAAGAAGAGAATTTATACACACCTAACCTATACGTCTCTTTAATTCTATAGTTATTTATGTAGAGCTGCACAATGTTTTTCGACAACAAATAGTATTAGTAAATCTTTTTATTTATGCTATTTTAAAACTCATATATAGAGAATAAGCACATTATGACTTCGCAAAAGTAAAATTAATATTTTTGTAGGTTTCTATATAAAGTGTGTGGTAAATGTAATTAACAAAACCGTTTATTTGGTCGCAAAGTCGCGCCCACGAAGTATAAGTTCTCTTCGACTTCGTCCTCCAAACCTCCACCCACATACATACACTGCCACGATTAAGTTTGCCCAATAAATCTTGATTAATTGCTATGTCTCCGCACCAACCTGTATATATTAAACTATTATCTCCTCATACTAGAATTAACTTTTTTCTCTTATTTCTTTTAAGTCTATTACTATATATATATATTTAACATCCTTATATATATAATATATACACTTAACCTCCTTATTCATAAAAAGTAAAATCTTCTATGAACATATTTTAACTATCACACTGTTTTGTCATATTCAAGTTAAGAATTTAACACAAAAAAGAGACTAAACAATTAAATAGCAAAAGTAGGGTTATGAAAGTTTTGACGTTTTTTATAAATAAGAGGGTAATCATTTATTTAAAATTACTACTTTGTTAGCATCCGTTTTAATAAATACTATATCCAGATACAGATACAAATCTAGATCTATATAAAGATGTTATTATATTATATTACAATAATAATTTATATATTTATAAATGGACGAGAATACGGTACATAAAATTATGGAAGGTGCCCTTATCACAAAGCAATTCATTCCAGTCAACCTTAAAATAGATAATGTTTTCTAAAGAGACAATGAAATCAAGATCTACGTGGAGAGATGTTAAACAGAGAGATTCATCGTAATTTCTTTATTTTTCATACCTAATCATAATGATATATGTTTTTTGTTCTACAGTATATGCGTAACGGTGGTGGTTCTGAATGTCCACTTCCGTTCGCCACAGACGCATCGCATGGCGCCATGGGTAAAAAGAGTTTTTATACACATACTACCAAGACTTCTATTTATGAAACGACCGCAGTATAAATTCGACACAACGAGGTGAGTAACTAGTTACGAAAAAAAATTTAATTTTACTGCTTTATTATGATATGATATCGTTCTAAATACTGTTTTCATTTGCTTTATTTTTTTAAAAGCTGTATTTTGACACAACTGATCATACACTGCGTATGATTAGTTGTGTTAAAGAAAGTCGTAAGTAAGAAAATCGACTACCTTGTTTAAAAATGAGTTATATACAATACAACATAAATGCATATTACAAAACTATTAATAGATAAATGAATTTAAAGAGCATCTACCACTGAAATTTTTAATTTTAATATAAACACAATTAAAATATAGGAACGAACAAGATATAGCTTTCGGTGATTTTTAAACAAATTACGACTTATGTAAATAAGTTTATATTAATTATATAAAGTATTTATTTTTTGTGTATATATTGTTATATAACTTTATAATCTGTATCATTCTTTGAAGGGAACAATAAATACTTTTCATTCATTCATTCATTATTCTCTTTTCTATATATACTGCAAACAATATACAATACAAACTTTGAATTTAAGTACTTTCAACTAGTTTTTACTCTCGACTTCTGCGTAACCGAAGATATTCATTGATTAGGATAACAAGTAGCCTATATTCTTTTTCATCCCAAATACTACGTATATACTATATTTCATCACGATTGGTTGAATTGTTAATGTGGGTAATAAATGAGTAATAAACAAACAAACTCATAATTTATATAGTAATATAATTAATATATAATATAATTTATATTAATATATACTTTATACTACTATATACTTTTAAACTACGTTTTCTGTAGATAATATGTATTTTATGTTACAATTACATTTTCCTAAAGTAACCTAATTCCTTTTCGTAATCCAAACCTAAATACACGAACGTTTAAGTACAATGAACTAATCTAAATACGAACTAAATATTGTAGTAGCGGATTATTTACACTGATATCTACGTACTTGATATCGTAATTCACTTAGCGAATGGATGTCTATTAGTGAGGCAAGTGATATAATAGAAGGGTAGTTCACTGTGGTTTCCGAACATTACGTAAATGGATCAGTAGGGGAGATTAAACGACCAAAGCGCTACAAACGCATCGTCTAGGGTCTGCACAATCGTAAAAATTATAAACAATTTTAGTAACAACCAACCAATAAAACAATTAAACCATGATATGAACTTTCGCAAAATAATACTTTATTCAGTAAAATGTTTTAGTAACAATAAAGGCATTTTAATAATATCCAATACACTATATATTCTAAGTATAAATATTATTCAAACTCAGCTAGATGTATTTGTCTGCATAGGTACCTATTCTACAAACTGGCAAAAGTATTTCCAATTTTTAATATCTCACAAGTGGTAATGATGCGCCTTCCCCTGTCATACTAAATTTTAGTTTACAACTAATACTATATTACAATATCGAGAGTTATGTATAATGTATATACGCAGATGGTAACACTCAAATTATAAGTAAATTCAAATCTGAAGTACTGAATGGTGAATTAATAATCTTCACAATGAAAGAAAATGAGACTCGGCTAATTAAAATTTCACTTGTGGAAAAACGCACGTACTGTCTGTGTGAATAATTATAATTATCCAACAAAAGATTTCCAACATTGTTCACCAAAACTTTATATGTAATATTAGAACTACATCTAGAACAGACATTAAAATTATATTTTAATTTATATTTATTAATATGTATACACACACATACCTAAATAATACTTATTTATATATAGTTTATTTTAATGAAACTTATTGTGAAGGTAACCAAGTTTAGTTAAAATTATTACATAAACATTCTTTAAATCAATGAGTAAGAAATCGAAACATTTAATCCATCCATTTTTTACGAGTATTCGTACTAGGTAGGTATTGGACAAAAGCTATAGGCTCATACTTCAGATGTCAGTGTAAGTAATGCACAAACTAGATTGCCTAATAAGAGATTTATTAATTGTTAATTTAGCACTGCACGGTCTGGGTTAATGCGGCGCTTCTCCATTTCTTATATTTTTTTATTATTATTTAGAATATGTATTAATTCGTATTTATTTCTTATGAATTGTCAATTATTCAGTTGTAAACATTATACATCATCTCGCCACTGCAACCTCGTCGTATCAATTATGCAGCAAGATTAGCAAACTGGCATATGGTCAAATATACAAGTATATATTGGTTACTCTAGAGACTAGAGTAGGTATTCTGTGGTTCTAGATCTAAAACTGAATGTGTAGATCACGTTATACGGCGTGCGGTGTGGTCGTGCGTTGCGGAGGCGCTGCGCGGCCGCTGTATCCGTACAGGCTAGCGGCTGCCGATGACGACTGCTGCGCGCCGGGCGCGTGGCCGCCGCCTGCCGCGCCGCCACCGCGGCCGCTGACGCGCACCCCCAGCAAGGAGGATTTAACACATACTACTTATCTTAATTCGGGGCAAGTTCTTTTTATAAAAATTTTATTTGTAAATATATTAAGTACCTATCCATGGACAATTAAGTAGAATCATTAAAAAACTTATTTTGAAATTGCTCAAAACAATAATTCGTTAAAATTGAAAAATAACAGTTTTAACTTTTTTTGATTTTTTTTTTTGCAATATACAATAATTCATAATTTCTGAACTTAAAGTGTGATTTATAGAATGATTATCCAACTAAACATTTATTTACCGTGATACAAAAGGTCTATTCTTAATTTGCAATTTTCGTAGTTAAAGTCAAGAAATACATATCTTAACAATCAAGTTTATAAATTATAATTTCATTTTAACTTTTACTTTAGTATGGGCGATAGCAATCGCTTCGGTGGTAGCTGTGTAGTGCACGGGTCGAGCGAAGGCGCCGCGGGACTTGGGTTGTCGAGTACGGCGCTGGGCGGAGCCCCCGGGCCCGCCGACGAGGATACGCTGAGCCCTGTGCCGGACCCACCACCTGGCTTCAGCCACTCCGCTTGTCCTCCAGAGGTCCATAAGACTTGCTTTTGTGTGCGCTTCATAGCGGAACATACAAGGATGCTTGAGGATTCTACTAAGGTATCATTAGATTAATTTATCCATAACAATATACATGTTTTATTGCATATTAAATTTAAATCCAAAATAAGATTTCCTTCTATAAACTTCACAGTGAAAGGAAATTACAGGTACATTGTAAAAGGTAAGCATAACACAAATTTCAAAACTCAGGTGCTTACTCTATTATTCAATGGAAATTTAGTATCATGTCAACGTTAAACGAATAAATAAAAAATCTTACATTATATTTTAATTGGAATAAAAAAAACCCGTTTGACTTACATGTATTTTTGTTATTGTTAATAAAAATTATAATAGTTAAATTATAATTCTAATAATACGAAACTTTTAAACCTTAAATTATTTTTAAGTACGTACTTATGTGGCTCTCACAGGTCAAAGTTGGCCATCAATCGCTCTCGAGTCTTAACTTAGTGATTGAGTGTTCTTAGTACTCGTCTCCCAAACAAGACCAAAGGCGACAAAGGGAAATTTTTACTTAGGCCATAAAATTAGCATCGCTCGTGTTATTATGTTTTCCTCTTTTTGAAATATGATAAAGGTTTTCATGTGTTATGCTTACATTCTTACAAATAAACATTTGTTAAAAATTTAAAAATCCTCGAAACAAAGAAATGTATAGAAAGTAACGGTCTCCACTAATTACTCTAAATTCTAATGAAACCAAGTACGTCATATCTGCTGTAAATTACTAAGGAGCGAGGAGAAGCAGAGGAGTATGCTGCATACTACTTGATGCTACAACATCGGGTCAAGGTTACCATGTCATGGATATACCATGGTAGTACTGATACACCCAATTTCAAATGTAAACCCTTCGTCAAGTAAAAAATGAGTTGATATTTTTCAAACACCTGAATGTACGAGTACATTCATAAATTATAGCTAAGAACTATTTCGATCACACCAGCTTTCAAACATAAAAACCGTCTCTAAAATTAATTTCATATTCTTTTAAGAGCTAACAATCTCAACATGTACATTCTAAATGGCCATTAACATTTATAATAATAGTAAAAATTTACAATAATTAATTAGCTTTACTAATATTATAAGATTGTGTTTTGTGAAAAAAACCGACAGCAATCGTAACAAAAACAGTTTACCAGAGGGAGATTTTGTACAAAAGTAATTTGCTTGGGTACCTTAGTCCCATTAGTGTTTCAACCGTGAAGCAGTTGTGTTCGCATGGCTGTGTTTCGGTTTGAAGGGTGGGATATGGCGTGAATTTACAGGGTACAGAGGAATAACACTCTAGGAATGGCAACGCATGGCAGGTATAATGGACGAAGTAGTATTCTCTGTTATGTCCACGGTACTGTTCATGCCTATAGGCGACGGTTACCACTTTTCATCCGTTGGACCGTCAGCTCTTTTGTCATTGTAAGTTGCATAAAAAAAGTTATTTTGATCTAAAAACTAAATACTTGAATTTTTATAAAATTTCTATTAAATTGCACTGTAAATATATTTTTTTAAATAAAAATAAAAATTATTTTTTATAACGGTTTAGAATTGACGGAAATATGAGATAACAAGCATAAAAAATACATCGAAATTGAGAACTTCCTTCTTTTTAAAATTTGTTGATAAATGTAACTCCTAACGCTTTAAAAAATCAACGCAGAGGTTGAGGTAGTATTTGAAATAGAGAAAATATAGGCTATTTTCAATCTCAAAAATTTAAAACATAGTACAGAATTTCTAATTTCTAAAAGAATTTCTATGGAGAACATTAATATAGTTTATTAGGTTAAGAACTTATATCGGATACTTAATGCAAACCGCAGAGTCTTTTTATGAATGATGGTAAAGCGGATAGAGGAAGTAAACTTGAGATAGGAGCAGAGAGAGTAGTATGCTATACTGAATAATATTATTATAGAATGGATTGGATTACTCGGACATGATTAAAATATTGATTACAGATAGATATCTGCAAATTGATATCAATCTATTTATTAGTAAGGCTTTAATAGTATAGAATATTTTAGATTTATCTATATTTGTTCATGTATATTAACCGAAATCTTCGTCAATTTTCATAATTCATCCTGCAATCGTAAACTTTATTCCCGTGTTAGTTCTATAATAATTGTTACGATTGACATTGCAATTTTTTTACAGAGTAAAATTTATTTATTAAAACATTGATATTCTTGGTTTATTATCATATTATGAGCGCATAGTGATTTGTCGATGTGAAAGCCTCAAAAGGACTGAAATAGCCTACTTATCCCGCCTCCGGGACCGCCTCAGCTCGAGAGTTTTTCAAGTGGATCTGTATAATCATTCTTATGGACGAGCACACTATTGCGAAAGTATGTGTATTGAAGTAGGTAGGTATTTCCTTATTACGTTGTGGCCACCAACTCAAAAATGGTTTATTCTCTTGTTTTACTGACTTTCTTAATTAAAGGCTCTTGAATAAGACTAGACCAAGTGGTATTTTCTATAAATAGCAGTAAACATTTTTCCATTTCTAAATTAGGGAAATGATTGAGTTAGATCTTTATTGGATTTCCAAGAATTCAATAATAATATCATAATCATCGATAAATAAAGAGTTTACTGAAAAAAATGATACCTTTTTTTCCATTTTGCAACTTCACTGTTACGTCTGCTCGATTAAAAATACGTAAATTAAAGAAATGTAAAATTTACTAATCTACTAAAAATGTATATCTATGACTATCTATTTCCCACAGTTTCGCCTGCACCTTCTCGTACTATCACGATTCTGAAGGAATTTCAAAATATCGTTTATATACTTTATATTGCTCATTTGTTATATAGAAAACTGTAGTAGAAAGGTACAAAAGATTCGGCTTTACGTTAATAAGTCAATGAGTTTATTACAGATTTAATTTTTTACATTACCATTAGATATGTTTTTTCACCATTTATTCCTTTTACTTTTTACGTGTATACAATATTTGCGTACGATAGTTTCAACGAAACAATCAGTCAATTGCACACAAAATGACTTAAATATTAAGAGGAGAAAAAGTAATAATTTCTGTTAAGGTACCTTTTTAGTTTAATAAAAGGCGTGCGAGAATGGACAGCTGCCGATTAAGATAACATATTAAGAAACGTAAATTTATTTTTTTCTTGGAATTCTTGGATTGATCATATTAATCATCAAATATCTTCATAGCTTAAGCACAAATGTCATTTATCTCTTTGTATTTAAAGAGATAAATGACATTTGCGCTTTAATCATTTAAAAAAAACTCAAAATAATATATTATATTAAACTTAGACAACGTCGCCATTTAGATACCGTAGGTAAGATACATGTTTTTTAGAATTTGTTTAACCGAATGTTTATTTTTCTGCCGGTCTTATTCCATCTTATTTGGGGTTGGCCCTCCTGTATTTGATAGTATTCTTTTAATAGCAGCTACCCATGCAAGTCAGGGGTTTCCGCGCTTCTGCACTGAAGTATTCTTTAGTCAGATGATTTTCCGATCCCCTCATTATATTTCTTTAACATCTGTTCAGTTTCTTAAACGTTTAAAAATTAGGATTCGGTCACAGAATAATTATATTTAATAATTTATTTAGCAATTTTTTTTTATACAACTTAGAATGGCAAACAAGCTGACGGCCCACCTAATGGAAAGTGGTAACCATCGCCTATAAACATGAGCAGGACCATGGACATAACAGAGTATATTGTTTCGCCCATGATACCCCCCATGCGTTGCCATTCTTGAAGACTCAGTTGTTATTCCTCTGTACCCTGTAAATTCACGCCCTATCCCACCCTTCAAACCGAAACACAGCCAATATTGTGATAATAGAAAATTTTAAATTGTATATTTAACGATCTTAAAATCTACGGTCCGCCTGATGGTAAGATTGCATGCATACTTAGAGTCTCAGAGAAAAGTTCTCATCATCTAAACACAAAAATAATAATAGTATTTTGTAAGGCAAACGTTATCTACAAACAAAGTACATTTAATTTTAGAAAATCAATCTTAGAGATTATTTAAATTTCGTAAAAAAAATATTGTACTATATCCGTAGAAAAAGAAAGCTATATTATTTTTAACCTATATCAAACGCCTTATATGTAATATCTTATTACTTTTGTTCGAATATTTAAAACACAAATCATAATAACAATTTGGTATGAATTAAGAAGTAAGACAATAAAGACTGCATGTGATACGATATCTTTGTGTATATAATGTGTGATTTATTATAATATGATCAATTATAAACCTTTTTAGTACTAAAAAATCTTTAATGTTTTATTGTGCTAAGTACACATCTTAAAAACTTCCCTATAAATAGGAATATCAGATATATTCCCTTACTCAAAAAGTAGAGAAACAAATTCATAACAATTTCCTTGCAAAGCAAAAGATGTTTTACAACGAGAACAGTGAACAGGTGCAATGAACGAGTATAGCAATAGAAATGCTGTTTACATTGCCCCTCAGCTAGTCAACAGACTGTCGTAATTAAACGTGTTCTCTGTTTATTAGTAGGAAGGTCGAAACTTCCCTTCACAATCCTTACAAAATCGGCCTTTCGTGACAGTTCGTCACTTTGATCCATTTAGACGCGATTAAGATTTATTTATAGCGCTGTTTTCAGGGCTATTTGTTTAATTCTTTGTTTAACCTTAGATTAATATCATTATCTAAATTACTAATTATAACATAATTTGTACAATAAAAGATAAACATTCTTTTAGCAGTGGTAACTTAATACTTATGAGTAGAACCATAGAGTTAGTACAACCTACTTCAATTAGAACACGACAAGAATCATTTTGTTACTATAGCGGTGTTTCCTAATTTATCGCTGCGACAGTGGTACAAGATAAGCCTTAACAAGACTTACCCATATCCTCACCGATTGCGACCTTAGTGACAAACTGCTGCATTTTTAATCTTACCTACGGATTAAATTATTAATGGGCGTATATCCAGCTTATACAATTATATATTTATAAAGATATATTTAGTGATATCAAAAAATGTTCTAGAATTTTAGTATCCATCTACATACCGAAAGACTGGCATATTTAAATGTCACTGAATAAACGAGGCAACGACATTAAAAAAACTCGTAGCACGTGCCGTGACCAGGAACATAGTTACGGATATCTCTCTACACCACCATCATTACTTTGCGTTTGTCCCCTAATTTGGGGACGACGCGGTAAGTTTCTTTCTTTCACTGATCCTATCAGCCATCATAAATTCCGAAGGGGAAAATCCCTTGTGCACTTTTTACCTCAATGAATAAAAGTAGCTACGGTTACTAAAAATTCGTAGTACATTCCATGATCAGAAAATACTTCATAGTAACGATAGCTCTCGAGTTTACTTATGAAATGGAAAATTTATCGTACTCATTTTGATCTCACCGATTAGAAAATAACTACAAGCATTTGGCTTTGGAACCTAAAATACAAATTAGTAGCACATGCCGTAGCTTACAGATTTATGGATAACTCTAATTACCACGGATGGAATGGAAAAACCCTCATATACTTTTTAATATCACTGAATAAAAGAACTATTGTGATAAACACTTACAGTCATATCCCAGAGAAGTTAAACTAGCGATAAACTAGCATTCAATACATGTTTAGACGTTTTATTACGTGTACTTTAAAAGCGCATGTAATATCTGTGTATGTGTAAACAAAAGAAAGTTTGTCTTATTAAAAATATAAGATATTGAAAGCTAAATATACAGATTCTACATATAAAATGACATATATGCAAACATTATAACAAGAAATAACTACTTTCCGACTAAACAATATTTATTCACTTAGGCAGAGTTTTGTTAAACACGATTGAAATAAACAGTGTTTTAAATATTTATTGTAATAATACCGTAGTACTTTCTATGCATTTAGTGTCGGAATATATAAGATTCCTTCTTGTAAAAAGAAGTCTAATATTGTCTTTGATCTATATTCCTTCCTGGTTACGCCATATTCTAGGAGTATTTTTCTAAATTCTTGTAGCTATAAAGCAATAAATATTTATTTAGTGAAATTAAAACAGAACAATTTTTTTTTTGTTTCGTATGCATTCTGAGTTGTCTTTTAAATTTCTGTAGCTAAAGGGTAAAACGAAACTATTATGACAATTTCTTCGCGTCGTTGGTTTTTAAAATTAGACTAATATAACATAGTCGGATGAAAAAATCCGTAATGGATATATTTAATAAATCCGTAAATGTAATCGGAATGAAAATAATGACATTATATTTATTTCGATGCAGGTAAAAGAAGATTGGAAATACGTAGCAATGGTACTGGACCGTCTGTTCCTCTGGATATTCACGCTGGCTGTTCTAGTGGGCACCGCGGGCATCATCCTGCAAGCACCAACACTCTATGACGACCGTGTGCCCATCGACAAACACTTTAACCAATACGCCACCTCTTCATTGGTGCGGTGTCCACCGCCATCGTAATAATATAACTAAACCTAAACATACGTAGATATTATTTTTAAAGCTTATGTTAATTTTTTAATGAAATCTATATATATATATATATATATATATATATATATATATATATATATATATATATATATATATATATATATATGCGTAACGGAAATCGCTATATTGGTCGTTTACGAGAATTGTTTCGACTTCATCCGGAAGTCCTATTTAGAGCGAGTACAATGCTTTACGTTGTAACGTCTCGCCTCGCACTCGTCTTCTTAAAATTCTGGTAACACATATATATAGATATACGTAAATATAATTTCATGTGATACTCGAATTACTGTACTGCTACATATTTCTGACGTTTAAATAAAACACCTAGGCGATCGCACAAATTAAAAAACATTTTTTCGTAGGTGGACTTATTTACACGCATATAATATATTTTTGTCAACAAATCTAGGTGTAGCATTCCATAAAGTATTTGATATAGCATTTATTCGCCTGAAATCTGTATTAATCTAATAAAATTAAATTGTAATAATATTAAATTACATTGACTATAATTATATATTTTACATTTAATTGGGTTTTACAATAATTTTGACATGATGTTAAAATTAATATACCTAACAGGTATTTTTAGTTAATGTTAAGTAGGAACAATATAAAAAATATATAAAAAAAAATCATATCTACGTATGTTTTGTATAACTACAATTTATGGTAATACTCAATATAAACGAGACAATGGGCTGTATTTATGCTATAATTTATTAAAATAAAAAGGTATTGGTAAGTTCACCATACATGAATCGCAGTTGATAAAAATCTTAAATTAAAATTAATAAGTGTGTATATTGTATTATAAAGCTTTTGTGAAATGTGCTCACAGGTTACAGACTTAAGTCATAAAAATGGCCTGAGTAATATCTTTAAATAATCTTAGAGAGTTTGCAATAAATTACAGCATATAGTGCAGTACTTTGTACTAGACCTAACGCACACCCGTCCCGCCCGGTACGTGTTCTATTCCACGACACGTACGTTATCGTTATATAAAGTTAAGAAACTATTTCTCATATCTCTTCTTAATCTGTATTAAGTATTAATAGTTATAAAATTCATGTAAAACTGATTACAGTTTATTTCCACTCTCTATAAAATATGTGCGTTAAACGTTCCTAATATCTCGATATCTAATCGTGACAATAAGGCATAGCAATCGACTTAACCGAACATTTATAACGAACGCGTTAACGTGAAATGTACACCTAAGTTTCTTTTTGTATAACATAAAAATGTATTTGTTAATCAACAATAACTTATATTCTTAACAATTGTAATACAATTACAGTAAAAATCATTTATAACCAAATTAACGTCTTAGAAAATAGTAAAGTATGTCTAGATAATTCTAGATATAAGAAAACGAACGAAACACCACCAAAATAATATTGTCTGTGTTCAACAACATTATAACTAATATACTATATACTATAGTGGTAGTGTACGTAGCGTCAGTTTAAGCTCTCATAAGTCACAATATACCAAGGTAATCTCCTAAATCTCGCATTTAGTCTAGTGTGTATGATTTTATTCATGTTACCATAAGTTAATGTTAGCGCTTATGTAGACATCGAATCAGAAATTATATTAAGAAAATAGTGCATTAGTTGTAAGTACCTACTTCAAGTACACACAACAGACTATTCATTAATTACATACCCTCAAACTTAAATAATTCTTCTTGACTATTTATAATTTGTCGTAGAATAGAACATGTACACTAAAGATGAAATATCGATTTTATTATTTATAAGGATATAGAATTCGATATCAATAAAATATCGCCATGTGCGTTTATTACAGATTTTTAAGAAAATTGTTAGCTTCGAAAAAATTATGTTAATAATGTATACCAATAATATATATAAATATACTTATATTGTCCATTAAAGTAGGTAAAAACTTTAAGAATTTAATAGAATAGTATGAGTATCTATAACCATCCACCCATCCAACTCATACATAATTACTTGTAGGACATCATCATAAGTAAAAATGTGATAGTAGTTAGGAACAGAGAAAGTAGGTACTGTTAATTCTCTTCAAAATTTGAAATATGATCACTAGAATAGTTTAGTATCCACTTTAGTTCCCTGTTCCCAAATCACCAAATGATATTTTTAAAGCTTTTACCTACTTAGAAATAATATTATGCATAGAGACTGGTATAAACATAATAAAAAATTAAATTGAGAGAAACAAATAGATATACCTTATACATAAAATTACCTACACTGAAAATAATGCAAAACAATAATACAATCTTAGACACTATATCACTATCTCAATTCTAAAATACTCAGGAGCTTGATCAGTTATGCTATTCTGTAAAGATTCGAACCTATTTGGTAATTCACTTTACTTTTAATTCACCTATTTAATATATTTTCAAATCTGCAAACTTTGGGAATGGGAAGTGGAGAGATATGAGTTATTGAAACCAAAAGTAAATATCTAAGCATGGTAGCATACGTACCTCAATTGTTATAACGCCACGTTACCGAAATAGTAGTTATCGATTTTTTATTTACATAATACCAAATGTAAATCACTCGTAGATCCGTTAGTGAAATTCTTTTGTAATTACAAAATAGCACAGCTGGTCGTTCCAATTCTAACCAGTTCACAACTATTAACATACAATAAATAAATACATACCTCTTATTATAATAAAAGTATGTACGATACGTAATCTAGGTTTTTGTGAGTTACTACCATATAATCAAGCTATTACGAATCAACATACCATCAACGAGTATGAACGATTCGATTTGATAAACGACCGGTAAAGGTCGTAACTGGTCGAATCAATTTCTTTTTACAAACTTACTTCTTGACGTATAAATTTGTAAAGACCTTATCGAATCGTGTGGCAAATAGTGTCGTCTGTAGACAATATAACCAATTTATTTGCTTGTGTCATTGCACAGCTGACAGAGACGATCGTAATCAACTTTATTTATGTACCTGACATTATTATCTACAGTCGCATTAGATACGCAAGTTGCGTGCACTCACATACACACACACATATTGCTGTATCCATTTTGTGGGGTAATACTTTAACATCATTGTTGCTAGATGCAAATTAAAAAAAAAAAAAACTATTAATTTATACAAGTATAATTGCTTATTTTATTCAATTGACCAACATTTTTATTCAACTGTAATTTGTAAAAAACAATAATTTGTATAAATATTATTACCATCTTTCAATCTACAATATTAATAGTTAATTATTATGTTTATACCTATGTCAACATAATTAAAAGTTTACATACCCAATAAAACAATTATCCTTATGACAAATAAGTACAACATAAATATTTACTTTAAGTGATGATTGCTCAATTTTACGAATGGGTATCTATATTTCGCTACAGAATTTTTGAAATATAAACTGAAAATTTTGTTATTTATGTTACGTTAGACAAACTTAATTGTAATTGTATTATTTCTTTAATTTCTGATTTAGTTTGATTTCGTAATGAGATATTAATAATTATTTATAAATATATATCAATTTATTTCTATTGTGCTTGATTTCTAGGCAAGGGCCTTATTACAAGCCGTGCCAAAATGTTTGGACAGGAATTGAATGAAAATAATTACTAATTTAATACATGAATAAACAGTTAAAATAGCAATTTTAAAAATATTTGTACAAAAAGTAAAAAACGAATATAAATATTAAACCTAAAGGCTTTTCGTGTTTAGGTACTTAAATATAAAAGATTTATTAATAATGTGCACTCATGAAATTATTTCAGATGTAATTTACGGACAAACGTCGATACGAACGTTAGCTAGGAAAAGTATTGGTGCATAGTTTAGTATCCCTATGAAATAAATATTATGAATAAAATAATTTAGCAACAATTAATAACTAAGCACATTGGACTGCTCGCGGTAGAGTAGCGCAGCTCAATTGTAGAGAAATAAGTTTGTAATTACCTATTTATATTGTTAATAAAACCGTTATACATAGACATATTCTTTTTATTCCTTATTAATTCCGTATTTATTAATAGTTAAGAGACAGCTACGTACAAAAAATAATAACTTACTTTATTTAACAAATGTCATGTCATCTTTAGGCGTCACATAATTATTGTAAAACGAATTCCTAGTACATACACCTTCCGCAATGGTCATAATAATTATCAATCAAAATTAAACAGCTCTGGATTATCAAACAGGCCAACACCAGCATCTTTATTTTTCGCAAAATAATCCTGTAAAATCATATTTGTACGTTTATTATTTTCTATAAAAGCAGTTGCATCTTCTGCTTCTTCTTTGGTGGATACACTGTCTTTTCCGAAAGAATGCAAGAAATCATTAATATCAATCGAATCCTTGCTTGATTTTTCCGCTGTCTGTTCTCCATTTTCATCGTCTGTCATTTTTAAAGAAAAGTCTTTAAAAGCAAGAGATATTTTATGCTTTTCTCTCTTTGCATCTTGTGTAGATACGTCTTTAATGTTATTATTTTCTTTATGTTCTTCTTTTTCCCATTGTACAAACTGTGTTTCTACATCACTTAATGTGCTACTTGACTGATTTTCTAAATCTCGTATTATAGTTTTAATTTTTTCGTCGTTAGAAGCATTGCTATCCACATTATCTATATTTAAAATACCCAATGCTTCATCAAGAACGCGTCGTATCTCCTTGGTTTTTTGGCTATCTTTCTTGTTGTGATCAATGTTATGTAAAATTTTAACATCATGCCAAATACTATCAAAAGTTGGTTTTTCTGGACTCGATTTCATGTTACCAAATTTCTTTCTAATATCAGATGGCATGCGGTCAAATTCACGTCTAAATATGTTACTTAATTCTATCAAATTATTATTTTCTTTTTTAAGCGTTTCTCCTATGGCTTTTATTTCTTTATGAGAGTCGTATTTGTTAATTAAATTGAGCCCGGTTTCTTTAGCCTGAGTAATGGACTCTTTTATCTGCCGAGATAGTCCATCAGATAAATATTGCTTGTTATCATTGCTAGTCCCAGTTTGCGATGTATAACTATTTTCTACTTCTGGCACCATACTTTGATCTGTTGACCCTCTACATCTTTTATCATAATCAGAAGATTCATGGAACACTGGATTTAATGATAACACTTCTTTAACTGCCAATATAGTACACCCTATAGTTTCTGACACATCAGTTACAACATCACTCACCAACTTACCGAAACTGTCTTCAATTGACGACATAGCTCCACGAAATTCATCAAAAAATGAAGCAGAATAAACCTAAAACAATTAAAAATAAACAGTAAACTATTTGAAACAATACATTGAAGCCAATAGTTCCATGTTATACTAATTTGTTATAATATAGAACTCACCGGTACAATTATAATGCAAAAAAACACAGCAGCAATCTTCATTATATATTAAAATATATTTACAATTTACCAGTAATAATAATTGTAAATGCTGCCGAAGACAGACATATTAATTTAATTTCAAGTCGGCATACGTTTAAATTGTTATTTTACGTCTGTTTGTTCGATCGACACGAGTTACGATTTTGTCAAACCACTTGTTCCAATATTTGCTGTCACACTGCCACAAAGTAATTCTGTTTATTGTATTGGTACTTCACTATTAGACTACGTCTACTAACTTTTATAAAAATTACAATACAATGTAATTTTGTATTAATGTACAATAGTACTATAGAAGAAAGCTTTAGTAAATTCGAATCAAAGAAATAAATCAATAAACATACATGATTATTTCATTACAATAGTTTAAATTTCGCTGCTATAAGCATATGTACTACTAACACTTGAAGATTGAACACCGTCATTTCCACCAGAAGTTCTACAACTTTCCGTGTTAACCATTAATCTTTGACTGCCATTTCATTCACGCACGTTTTGCAACACATGTTTCACCTCAAAACGAGGGATCTTCAGGTAAGCAAATTTGTCTGAAGGTGTCTCATTATAAAAGTCGCAATAGCAGTAAAAGATTGATGGCTAATATGAAAGGAATTTTCGGTAGTAAAGGTGATGGGCTATGTTAGAATGTGAGCAGTCTATAGACTTAATATAACGTATTACATGAGCGTTGACACACATTCTAATGGTAATAGAATTAAACAAAATAATTCTAAACAAATAACCAGTGATATGGACTACCGCCAAATAACACCTATTTCAGTAAAACCTCCATTACTTGATAAATACTATTATTATAAAGAAACACAAAGATTAGTGTAATTAACGTCACACTATAATACGTAGTAATAATATTCTTCTTAGTATTAGCAATATTATAATATACGTCTGGAACTTTTTTTTACCATCAGGGTCAACCTGATATAGACAATTGTCTGTATTAGAAGAGAAAAAAAAAATATTGCTCGTTTGTAATGGATAAACTCAATACTAATATTAGATAAACATCTTTAAAAAATTAACAAATTTTAAAAGGGACGACTGTTTTAATTTCTATTTGCTTTCTCACCTATGCCTATCTACATTTTGTATATGGTTAATAAGTTACTAAAGTTAATAATTAGTGTCAGCTATCTAGACAAGATATAACTCAAGTATAGTTAGATAAATTTTATTAAAACTGTTTTTACATTATACATGATAATAAATAAAAAATAAACCTACATTGTTACGTTTTTAGAATCGTTTTATAGGGAAAAAAATAAAAGATATGAATTGATTAATACTTTATTGATTAGTTATATTATCTTACATATTTTATTATCACAAAAATTACACTTAGGTTCGTTTATAAATTACCACTAAAATGCATCTTGTCCAACAAATTTAGAATGAATAATTTTTGATTTCTTATATATATATATAATCTTCAGCAGAAATTAAATATATCTAATAATTTTTAAATGTGGATATTCCAATTTAACAATATCTATGCGCATATGGAAATTGTTGAATAAAAACAATGCAATATGGACTATATTACTATCAGTATCTGTATACAAGTGGCGAACGAACCATTTCTATATATTTTTATAATAAACGTTCCTTACATAAGTATACCTTTACTTTCTTACGAATTACGATTTAAACTAGTTCATCACTCAGAAAGTTAACTTTTAGCAAACGGGTGTAATTGGTACAATAAAATAAATTATAAAGCACAATGAGAGCTACAGAGAGAGTGTACTAATCTAAAAGTTGATTCAAAGGTTGTGTTACAATCTGGACATGCCGTTCTTTCTCATATGTAGTGTATCGTGTGTGTGTATCTCACAACAATATAAACGTATTTAAAACTTAATCCTTTGCCTCCTATTAATATATATGGCAAAAAAGGTATCTCTAAATTAATCTTCAGTTTTAACAAAATAGATTGACCATAATTTTTTAGTTACAAAAAATAAACTTTCTCTACGCCTTAAATTTGGGCAAGAACGTGATGAACGCGTGGCAACGTGTTCAGAAATATTTGCTTCCTCTATAGGTCCCACGAACTCTTGTCTGACTATTTAATCACTCCATTAGTCCACTCAATATAATTGTGACAATGGTCGTAAGATAATATTAATAGATTAGAGAGTAATATACATTAAAAAAAAAAAATTAGTTCAATACGCTCAATAATTAAGTCGATAAAAAAATCATACAAACAGTAACACTGAAGCAAAAGACTAATTCATCTATGTGTATTATTGTTAGAATTTAAAAAAAAAATTAAGGTTATAAATTACTTATATTAGTCCAGCAAACCCAATATACAATCAAACACACACGACAAAAATTACGCAATCCGCTGACTCTGTTTATGGCATTAATGTAACAAGTAAATCAATCAATGTAATAAATAAACAAGTAAAGAGATTATTTCATACATCTACAATAGTAATATATTGTATCGTAGCCATACACATAAGAATAAATAGGCTGGATGAAAGCGGCACTCCTGTACTATATACTTTCCTTTGTGAATGTAGTAGTACAAAATATACCCTTCTTCCTTTCAGACCAACAGAAGATTGTCACAAATTTATTCGTATTTAACAAATTTTTTTAGTGAGACACGCGTTCTCACCTTGGCAACTGTTGCTTGCTTGCAATAAAGTAATTTAACGGCGTCGGTGCAGCAACTTTTTAATTAAATTCACGAGTGTCAGTTCTATCTGGATATTTATTTTTATGTCATAAATATGAATATCACTCTCAGCGTATAAAAAAATATGAAAACAAAGATAGTGAAATTTCTGTTTACTCAAATGCAAGTTAGTCGATTAACAACAAAATAAACTTAAATCAATCTAAAGTCAAATATGTTATTATAAGCAAGTATGTACACACAATATCAAAAGGTAATTATACATTTTCGCGTTTACACATAATTTAAATCGGGATTTAACGCGATATTATCACAACCACGAAGTGATGCAATCCACGTCGAAATGTCGTCAATAAAGAAGCAGGTATATATGTATTATTTACCTGCAAAAAATCGCGTTACATCCCGATGGTGTATTCAAAATCTATATCAAATCTTTATTATTTACAGCATGTGTCTATGAATAACATGTGAGAGAGAATACATTGCTAAATTCTTACAATTTTCACTATAGCCAGCTCATTTTACCTCATAAACAAGCTGATGGGAATATGTAGATGTATTGTACAGATACATGAATTGCAATTGGCTTTAGAAACCATAATTATAGTGTTGATATCGATGGTAAAACCAACTGGCAATCTCAGCCTATCTTTTCGTTTCCTCTTTATTTTGCATTCAACACAACAGAGTACTTCAGCCATGAAAACATAACAAACAAACAGACGGTATATTTTTTTATATACGACTTGGAATGACAAACAAGATAATGGTCCACTAGATGGAAAATAATGATGGTAGTAGCCATATTAAATCATGAACAGTACCATGACGTAACGGAATACGACCATGGTGCCGCACACGCTTTGCCATTTCTGAGCGATTCATCTCCTTTGCGTTTATATTATCACTAAAATATACAACTACCTCGATAGATACTCGTAGATAAAATTATTAAAAGTACGATTATTTTTACACATTTTCAAAAAATATAATATCTTAATATAAGTTTAATTCTAAGATGAAATATTAAATCGAATGAATCCCGTGATCATAATTGAAAGATATACCGTTTACCAACATAAAATTTTCAAAATAAATGTTTATAAATTACAAACCAACTATAATTATATGTAACACAGGCTTTATCCCTATCGAGGATCCATATATTAATATGTACATATATTATCTAGTAGATAGTAAAACTCTCACATTGCTATATAACTTTTGGCACTTTTTGAATACATTTAGATTGATATAAAATCGTAAACTTCATCAGTTATACCAAATTTTAAATTACATTTTGTTACCAATCTTTAATTAATAACCACGATTTTTTTTATAATTCTCAGTAAAAAAAAGGAACACATTACGAACATTTTAGAGTTTCACTTACTATTGAGCATATCATTATATGTAAATAGGTATCAAAGTATAATGTAAATAATGCATACGTCTTATTGAACTAACGAAACATTTACAAATTAGTTTTGATATTAATTATATCTAAAATATAAACACTTTTAATATAATAATCTACTATGAAAAACTAAAAACAAAAATATTATTTCATTAAAAATTGTAAAATAAATATGTAACGCATAAAGGAATGTAACAACCGATTTGTATATATATTTTTTTAAATATAAATATCTAGATCTGAATTTCTGTAAAACAAATATGTATTATTATACAAGTATAACACTTTGTGATCTTCTATTTTAATTCTACATTATAATATAATAAATGATAAAACAATGAATTTAGTTTTACCATTATCCATATCAATTATAATAAATATATTACTCATTATGGCCCAATAATTCTAATCATATATTTGACATTTTGTTCTATGCTTTTTCCTTTTTTCTTTATTGCATAAATTTCATGGTTGCTAATTTAATTAACAAAAAAGATGACTTTAGTAACAAAAAAAAAAGTAAATAATATATCTGATATTGTTACTCTTGTCTTTTTATCACTTAATTACATATTGCTATTATAAACATTATTGCTGTATATTTTTAGGTAATAGTTATTGCAGTATTTTATTATTTCAATTATTCTGAATTCAACTAAAGAAAACCTACATATGGAAAACACAATAGGTAAGCTATTTGTCCATGGATGTTATCAGTCACTTATTCAAAATTACAGTGAATCAATCAGTCAATCTTGGCACAGATAAATCTAAATAATAGTCCTGACAGAAATATTACAGATATACAGGTTGCACGAATCACCCTTTTGTTGAATGCATCCTATTTAGAAACCATAAATAAATAACTGACATCAAGAACTTTTAACAAATGCCGGTAGGACTATTATGTAAATGCTATTATGTAAAGATTGTTTGTCTAAAGATATAAAATGCAATTTCATTAGGATGCTCGGATTTAATGGTTTTAGTAATGTGAATTCTTATCCATGTATTAAGTTTAATTAAATGTAAATCACTTTTAACACTATTATCTTGATGTTTACAACATAATATAAATTTTAATATTTGATTTTTTAACATAACTATATCGATAAATATGTACTTATATATCTGAGGAAATAAAATAATATAGAACTAGTAAATGATATATCAATTTGGATATGTATACATTTATATAATTGTATTCACCTTTGGTCGTGAGATTATGTAGTAGTTGCAGTGCCACTTCAGTTGAGTCAAGTGGCAATTTTACATTGTACTCAGTTTTGTTTTTAATATTTCTTATTAGGATAAGCGACTTTAAATTACTTATCATAGTCTGAACATTTTGTTCTAGATTCTGACTTTATTTTGATATTATTATGTTAACATAATAGAGAGTAAATGAAAAAGACAAACGTACTAATACAAACACATATTCTATCAGATAAATCTAACAAGGGCAGTATTAGCATAAAGTTTTTGTTGAATAAATCCAAAGGAGGTAGTTAAAAGGTTAATATATACAAGAAAATTAATATAAAATGAAATTAACTTCTACAATCATCTCAATTTATAATCCATTGTCGCATATATCAATCAATTCATTGTGACCGATTCGTTAAACTCTCTAAATACACCTAATATAAAAGAAGAGATCACTATATTAAATATATTAAAAATTACGTTTTGAGAACATGATATAACCGCATTCAAAGAATGCAAAATTTATATAAAAATATTTTTCGTTCCAATAGATCGTAATAAATAACATTTTAACTTACAAAAAAAGAACACTTATGAGGTGATTTTACGTTTTTCACCCATAAATATGGATTAATAATTATCGTATATATAATATCAGGGCACTGACGTAACCTCCTCGTCCTTTTGTTGTAAAGGAGTTTCTTCTCTTTGAGGGGGTGTGGGAATATCTATGATTTCCTCGTCCCTCGGCGGCGGTATGGGGGCGATGATGTTTAATTTGGGTAGCGGCGGTATTGGAGGCGTGGCCGTGTCGTGCGGCGCCGCGCCCGCCGGGGTACCATTGGTCATCCGCTGATAATGAGGTTTCAACTTATTCGCTGGCGGTGTATAGTTCAAATGGTCATATTCTCTCTCTGAAAAATAAAATTAATAAATAGTATAGCGGAGAAAAAGAATACGTGAACATAATATAGATAGAGAAAAGTAATTTTCTTGCTAAAAATATATTCTATAGATGAATTTTAATAATTCTCGCCGGAATAATTTCAGTGTTCCTTCAATGAAGTCACGGCAGCAAAAGTAAATTAACACAGCCATAAATTGTAAATTATGATTATTTTGATTTATAAATAGACTTCATGCGATATATAATATGTATACGAATGTGACATTACCATATCCTTCTTTGTGTTTGATTTCATCATACACGTGTTCCAGTTTATCGTCATCAATAAAATTGTATAAATTAGGATTATTAGCATCAGCATCTTTATTCTTCAGCGACATTGGGTTGTAATCTATAAGTAAAAAATTAAATTATTATTTTCAAAATACAAAAAGGTTAGAATATAAAAAATATATCACATGAGAAAGACTTTTGCCGTCTTATTACAAATAAAATTTTAAACATTGTTTACCCAAACAATGTTTAACAAAACTTTGTCTAAGTGATTAAATATTTTGTAGTCTGGGTTCATTTTAATTTTATGTACCAAAATGTATAGATTATTAAAATACAATTTATTACTTATTACTTTAAACCACTTTAAAAAAACTTTCTTTTGTTGAGACATAAACAAATGGTAGAAGCCAATTCATAGTAAGTCATTTAAACATGTTTGACCACCTGCTTATCGCAAGCTTACTTTTTTTATGCAAATTAAAATAGCAAACAAGCTGACAGCCCCCCTGATAGAAAGTAGTAACCGTCGCCTATAGTTATTAACAGTACCATGGGCATAATAGATTATACTGTTTCGCCCATGATTCCCCCACGCGTTGCCATTCCACTAAGGTGTTATTCCTCTGTACCCTGTAAATTCACTGCCATATTCCACCCTTCAAACCGAAACACAGCCATGCAAACACAACTGAGTCAGACAATTAGTTTCTTATAAAATAAATATATTATTTATGTGTGTAGTTTATATAAATAACTCATCATTTACTATCTCCAGTTCAAGGAATTTCCAAATAAATATTTACACATAGTATTACCTCCTAAGGCTATCCTACATGGTTATTACTATATAGTAAGAGCTTACTGTCATTGGAGCTAGTAGCCTTCATCCTCATTTTCTCAAGAGTGGCGTTGTTCATTTTGCTTCCGTTGCCAAGGTTGTTGAATATAGTGTTGTTGAGCAGTGTGGTCGCGTCGTCACCTCGCTGTGAGCCTTGGTAAGAGTAAACTGGATTGTCGAAATGTTGTTGCTCTGTTCAAATTAAATAAAATAATTAGTTGCGTCCAAAACCACGCATGCATACATTCTACGCATAAATGGAATATGGAAATGAATCATCAGGATTAAATTATAGTATTTTCCTCTCTTGACGCCTTAACGACTCAACCAATCATCAAATTTGATATATACCTACTGTATAGTCTGGAGGAGGAGATAGGCTACTTATCCTGGTCATAGACACAAAATCGTGATAACTAATAATAATACAATAAATATCAAGTGTATATTTGGATTTTGATACATACCCGGTTGTGAATTAGGATCGGCGGTGTAATGCACATGTGCTATCTCCCGCTTGAGGTAGTTCACGCGCTTACGGTAGTATAACAGCATCAATATCACTACGGTCACACATATCAGCGCGATAATTACCAAAAATGCCGTAAGTCCCGCGTACGACGTACCTACAACAAAAACCAAATATTTAAGAAAATATATTCGAGGTAAAAGGAAATCGGTATCTGTTTATTCAGGAGAAGGGATAAAGGATAACTTCTTCATGATTTTATTTATATCATAAATAATATTATCTATAAAAATCAATTGTCATATGTACGTAAGCACATCACTTCAGAACGGCTATATCTATTTAGCTAATTCTATTTTTAAAGTTAAGGTTTCATAAGGTTTGTATAAAAAGAACATTTAAAAAATTTACGGAATAATGAGTAATTTGAATTAAAATAATCTCCACATAAAAAAGTGAGCAAGAAGACAGTAGATTCTCAAAAATATTCACGCAATTGACAAATTGACACATTAACATTCAGTAGCAAATTTTCTTCACTGGTACACCCATGCGAAACCGGGGCAACTAGATAATAAGAAAGATTATTTTAACATAGTAATTAATAAATTTAATAAATAAATAGCAATATTGTCATCGATTATTAAATTCGTAGGTACAGTTGATGAAAGAATTATAATTGCGTTAACTAATGCTAAGCTTGAACCTGTGGCCACAATATATGTGTTATATAAAATTTGTTGCAGAACAAATAAAAGGCATACAAACAAAAATATTAATTACCCTCAGCACGCTCGATCACTAATGGGTCGCTTGCATGTACGTCACAGTTATCCCCAATAAAGTTATGATGGCAGACACATCCCTTGATGTGGTCGCACTTCCAGTTGCCTTCAGATGGACAGTTGCAAGCTTTTATACAGTGATCACCGTAGTAACCCTCAGGGCATGCTGAAATATACCAACAATAATTTTATAAGGATTACATTAATCTCAACTTTAAGCTGATGTTCTGTCATGCATCTCCATGGTTTCTAGTAATATATTATATATGTATGAACACGTACAAAAATGATACACTATAAAGTGGAAGGTAAAATTATTTTTTAAAGTTACATTCATTATCAGATAATATATAAAGACTTTAGGTCATCAGTGTACTCTGGTAAATGTTATGATGACAAATAGTATACATACATACATCTTAGGGTAAAGGGGGCTTAAGAAGTTTCTTTAGGGTCAGAAACGCGTACGTAATATATCTGGTATTGCAGGCGTTCATAGGCTACGGTGACCGCTTACTATCAGGTTAGACCGTATGATTGCTTGCCACCTCAGTGGTATAAAAAAAAATTAACTAGATTTCTCCTTATATGGAAAGAAACCGGTAATTTATGGTGTGGTAATTTTTTTTATGAAATTTGGAATGGCATGTCTGCCATTGACATTGACAGTCAACCTGATGTAAACTGGTAATTGTCACATTTAGACATGAACAATAGAATCACAAATATCAGAAAATAAATCCGTGTAATTTCACTGTCATATCACATACTTCAAATCCTAACACAGTCATGCAAGAATAACTGTTTCGCGGCAAAAAATACAAGCAAGACAGAGATACAAAATGATATGTAAAGATGTTTAGTACATTATTGCAGCGGCTAGCAACTGAAGCATTAATGGACGAACGTGCAAATGAGGGCCAAGGCGTAGCCGAGGCACACATACGTGAGTCCATCAATGCCTAGTTGTGGCCAAAGCTTGTATAGTACTTTTCTCAAACAATGCGCGGAAATCAAAAACACAATTTTACTTTTTAAGGTCAATGACGAATAACGAACAATAATAATTTTTCACAGGCCATAATGTTCCTTTGTTTTTTTTTTTAATAAACAGCTTTCTGTTTGCAAGCTAGTTCGAAATTTAAATAAAACCTTTTATTAGTTACCTCCTTGGTAGCCATGTTTCGAAGTAAAAGGTCATTCCATTTTTAAATTACAGGACAGATATGAGTTTACATAGTAATTTATCTGGCCGCAAAACACGACAGATATGGATTTTCATACTACTTTTGTCGGCCGCTGCGCGCATTTATCTGACCAGTACGGCAATTTTGATTTATCTCTAAGAAGATTGTCAAAATAATGCTCACATTTCCAAGCATGTTTGAGAAATATATGTTATTCAATCATATTGAAAAGGCTAAACGGATTCCAATGAAATTTGACAGGCAGATACATTATAATGCAATTAATGAATAAATAAGAATAGTTTATGTGCAAGTGCACGCGGTGCAGAGGTGGCGAGAGCGCGTACTCACGGTCGGCGCAGTAGATGCCGGCGTAGCCTGGCGGGCAGATGCAGTGTCCGTCGCTGGGGTGGCAGAGCGCGGCGTGCGCGCAGCGGCACGGCTGCGAGCAGCCCGCGCCCCACCAGCCCGCGCCGCACGCCGCCTCGCAGCGCGCGCCGCGCCACCCCGGACCGCACTGGCACTCGCCTGTTTTATTGTGCAATCCACAACAAATTCATATATAAACAGTTGATACAGAGAACACAAAATAGCCAGACTGAGGGACGCGTCCTATGATATGATTGCAGCTTTAGATTAGCGTAACAGCTAGTACTGGTCACATTTAAAGTGTTTATAACAAAGTATTATTATGTATTAATAGTTGAAGCACTTCAGCTGCCCGCTAACGAAATGCTTTCGTACTGGGTTGACTGGAAGAGATATCTGTCAGAGATAAGTCCACCCTTACTCACAACATGTATAAATAGATTATTTTATATGTAACTTACGAGTGCAATAAATATATATATATATATATATATATATATATATATATATATATATATATATATATATATATATATATATATATATATATATATATATATATATATATATATATATATATATATATATATACATAGGCAATATAAATTATATGTAATTTTTTTTACAACACATAGGACAAACGAGCATGCGGCTCACCAATTTTTAAAAACAGTTTAACGTTTTTCAACGTTACCGATTAATTTTATTTCAAAAGTGCGCTGCTAGCGAAATAAAACGTTAATCATGCAATAATATACTTATTAAGCCATTGTTGAAAATTTGGATGTTGGGCCAAAAAAACATTAAAATATTCCAAAACGAAATAGGTAGATATGAAATTTTTAATAGTAGATTTATATGTAACGTATTCTATGATTACAGTTTTAGTTCGCTATCAAAACATTTTTTAAATAATCAATCAGAAATATTGTAATATATATTATGAAATTGTTTTTGAAAATTGACAGAAAATGCGACGTTGCCACACTTAATCAAGGTAAACTGTGATACATCACATAAGAAAAAATGCAATATAGCGCTACCGATCTGACATCGTACATACAAACAATCATACTCCTTAATACAAGTGCATATATGATATATGCAAGGATCGAACTCTTTATACACATTTTTGTAAGTAATACATTTAACTTCGTAAAATAAATAATAATTTTTATGTGGACTAAAAAAGTGAGTAATTGTATCACACTAATTTCTAATCATTGCCCTAAATAAAGTTTGATTACGAACCAGTGATATAATGACAGTCGGCCCCGTTATTACAATTACACTTCTCTTGGCAATTGACACCGTAAGTGCGCAGGGGACACGGGTACCGGCACGTGGGACCTCTGTACCCACTCGGACATTGGTAGTCGCCGGTCACAGGGTTGCATGTGTCGTTACCTATAACAAAATATGAGTAACGAAAACTCAAACAAAAAGTATTGAAATAAAAATTTTAAAATAGTTTGTATGCATACTTTAATCCCGGAAAATATTCTCGTTATGTCCTTATATAATCTTGAATTTTTGACATACAAATCTTTATTGTAAATACATATATCTAAGATTAACTGTGATTTAAACTTTTCTAGATTGTCTCGGATATGGGTGTTCAGGGTTGTCCCTCCAGATGTCTGTTACCTGTATTCTCATAACACAGGGTTACCCTAGCTTAAGGACTAGATGATTAGTGGTGATTATATGGTCGTTATAAAAAAAAAAAAAACAAAAAAGCAAGACTTAAATTTATGCTTAGAATTTCTTAATCATCTTAAGTACTTCTGGTCGCGAAAGACAGGTTATAAATACAGGTTTGTAATTGATAAATTGCGGCAGGGACATAAACGATAATTACCTCCGGAGTAATGCAGGCAGCGCTGCGAGCAGCCGGGCCCGTAGGTGCCGGGCGGGCAGGGCTGGTCGCACGCGTCGCCCGTCCAGCCGGCCGCGCACACGCAGCGGCCGCTGCTCGCCTCGCACGACGAGTTGTTCACACACCGGCATTGCTGCGAGCAGTTCTCGCCGTAGTAGCCCGAAGGGCATTGAGTCTCGCACAACACGCCTGCCGAGTTAGCATATAATGGGATCAAAATAAGAATGGGAGAACAAACCAACCACATTATCGATATGAAGAGATTTATCTTTGCCAATAAAATTACAGAACACAGGGCATAACATCTTACTTTCTTAGAAATAGTAACGAATGAGGGAGCCATGGTTATCTCTGTGTATTCACTGTTCATGTCTACTACTTATCAGGTATTCCATCAGGCTTGCTTACCATTTCAAGTTGTATAAAAAATATATTGATGTATTATTAATTTATCTGTTGACTTTTAATTATAAAAATAATACCGTAAATATCATAATTCTAATGTTTTTTTATAAGCTTATAATGTAATGAAATAATAAGCAGTTTATATTAATCTTTAAACCAAATAAAGATTAAAATTTTAAGTTATTAAGGAGCCAAAAGTTAAAAAACAAAGTCACGCTCTTAGTAGAAAAAAAGCAAAGAAAAAATTAACACTACAATATTCATTTCACTCACCTTTTCGTTTTAATGTATTATATCTACAATCTAATAATTATAACAATAATGTTTAACGAATCCTTCCTTAGGATCTAAGATAAATTTTATAATATGTCCAATATATGAGTAAGTACACAATTATATGTCATATATATACGATCGGTATACAACTTCATCTCAAACCTGAAGTTCATAAAAACGACAAATATCTCATAAACCTATTTTAGCTATTGAACTCTTTTGTCACTTTCTTTTGTGTTAAATTTCCAATTTGAAAGAAAGTGCCAAAACATCGTAATAGTTAAAATATATTCATAGAAGATTTCTGTTTTCATAAATAAAGATGGTATGTCTTAAATATTTCCAATAAGGAATGATAAGTACAGATAAAATAAAAATGTAGTAAAACATAGATATGTTCTATAATTCCTATGAAATTCAAACGATAAAATCAATCGAATAAGGTTAATGTGATAAAGTAAAGCCAGATAAAGTCATGAAACATGCGCAATCTTTATTGGCTACCTACTAAACCTAAATATTATGAACGTAGTCGTAGATAAAAATGTATAGAATAATCGATCGCAGGAAAATGTTTATATACAGTAATTCCACCTATAACGCGATACCCTTATAACGCGTTTTCATATTACGCGATTTCAATCCCCTGTATGACAAGGGCACACCCCCATATAACGCATAAATTACGCATTCCATTAAAAAAAAGATGCCGGTGGAACGTTATTTCAGATAGCTCTGACAGCGAATAAACATGTAACGAAACTGTTATTTGAAATTAACTATTTTTCCTTTAATTCATATGCATAATTTTTTTTTATTTGAAATATTCTTAGTTTAGTTTGATTTTTATAAAAGGTACATATTTCGTTCATAACATAGTTTTTTCTTAATATTCGATTTAAGCCCCCTGCAGCGAGAAAAGTTAAATGTGATAAATCATTTATACGTAACGCGTTATACAAGGTCGTAAAAATGCATTTTAAGGGTATTCCCGTATTCTATTCCTATAACGCGAAACCAATCTACCGCGTTATAGGGGGGATTACTGTATTAATAAAAAGTACCTAACTATTTTCATACAAATATACTTTGTCTTTATTATTTTTATCTATAAGTACCTCTTATTCGGTGTATATTGGTTTCGTTAAATAATAGTTACTAAGCGACCATCCACATAAATAAAGATTGTGTCACACAACAAAGATGTTAATTGTGACAAAACCTGTTATGTTGATCTATAAACTACTAAACCGCCTTTGATAAAATTTCTATAGAGCCTATTGGTAAGTATATCCTTACAGATAAAAAAGGAATTTTCCAAATCGGTTTAGAAGTGTGAGAATTATGAGGTAAGAAACATAAAGAAAATGCAACCGAATTAAAAACCTCCTTCTTTTTGAAACCGTTTGAAAAATAGTCAATGAGGCCGAACGAATATTATTTTTAATATTAATATACACCCATTATATCTTCATGTTTAAACACCCTGCAAACAAATCGTACAATCAGGAAAATAGGGTTCGAAAATGACTCGGTCTTATCACTCTCTGTTTAATGACAGAAAAAGAGGAAGAGGGCTTATTCTAGTGCAATCAATAGGAAGTATAAATTTTTACGCACAGTAACGCAAAGTATAAATTGTACGCCCAACAAGTTGATACACTATCACGCCATGACATCTCTCACGCGTTACTATTAACCGTTAAGGGAGGCCTATATTCAGAACTAAATCAAAACAGATTGATAATAAATAGAAAGCTTCATTAACAACGAATAACATTAGCTGTAATTTATTTAAAAAAAAAAACCTGGGTAAGTTAAAACAGACCGTTAGTTTTTAATAAGAAGATGTTATATAAAATAAAATTTTGGTGTAATAAGGCAACCTAAATGTATGTAACCTAAAAATATATAGCATATAAAACTTTAGACAATGGTATTGAAGTCCGAAATATAATTAATTTCAAATAATATAATATTCGATAATATTTATTTCTATTTCCGAATAACAACATTAAAACATGTTAGTAAATATTCCCATCAAACAACAAAACGGATACTACACAATTAATATTTATACAACACTTTCTACCATATTAATTTAATTAGAATAATACAGGTGAGGTTGAATAATAAAATAGTGTAAAATAAAAAATAATACTTGCCAAAAATTTTATTAAACATAAACAGATTATTAATTTAAAGTATATCTCCCATTAACAGATGACATATAATAAGAAATTTTAATTTTCTTAACAAGTGAAATATGGTCATAACTACTGTTACTATAACTTGAATTAACCCCCTGAATCTGAAAAATATCATCCATTAGTAACGCGTAGACTGTATTGAATGGAAGACAACTAGAAATTGAAAAAAGACTCAGTACAAATTTCATTCCAATACCTTAATATTACCATCTTTGTGTCACGAAATTAGGTAACTGTAATGTATCGTATGATAATGGGGCCGATTTTATGGCAGTAACCCAACCTCTTTACCTAATATATTAATTTGATGATTTCACGAATTTACTGTTTAATGAACCGCCATAAACTAAATTTACAATAATTTTGATTTAATTTGATTAGAAATTCACTTTATATTGGTCCTTAGAATAAAGATTTCGTATTATATCAAATTTTAATTTTAGAGATAGGTTTAGAGATTAGCGCCTCAGAATCGACCGCAACGACGGTTAACGTATAGTGACATTTTCAGCAATCATGGTAAAACTCTAGTGCGATCTCGTTACAACGTTACTTTTACATAGGGTGTCATTACGTTTACATACTCCCAAAACATCCGTTACCAAACACAAAAGGTTATGACATTTTTTAACTAATGTACATACCAACTGTCCTAGGTAGACCTGAATCAAGAAATCAATACTGTAATTTTATAATAACAAATTATATTTAACATCACGTGAGCTACTACACAGATACTTACAAAAATAATATTTTCTTTTGCAATTTTTTCAAAATAATTAAGTAGATTTTTCATATTTGGAATACTAATTCTTAAATCATGAATAAAAACGATGTCTTAAAGAAAGGTCATATGATAAGTAGATAATATACGTACAAATTAAATTAGAAAAATAACTACGACGTAAATATCAATAAGTCAATTGAATTATATTTATCGTGATAATAAATTTAAATTAATTTATTGTGCGGTAATGGAAAGAAGTTATCGATCATATTTATTTTCTGAGTAATCAAAGACATTATCAATATTAATTAAAATATTAAAAAGACTAACCTAGTATTATTTAATGAAATGATATATAATTATTTTCTAGGAATGACTGACGAACTAAGTAGGTACTGGTTTGTACCCGAATTAATACAATTAAAGATTTGATTATACATTTATTCCTATCAGGATAAAAACTATCGACGAGTTTAGCATGAACAAACAACGTGATACGGGATCATTATATATTAAAAAAGATAATAATGATTATAAAGTGTATACAGTCATATAATAATTACTGTAGCACTGAATCACTGATAAACTTCAGGTAAACAAATTTAGCAAACAGCATGGGCTCCTATGGCATTATATCATAAATGTGTAATATTGGAAGAATATTTATATTAATATGTGCGAAATATAGGAATACCGAATATTAGGTAAACCTCAAATGCTAATGCTTAAACGTCAATAAATGTCTAAACTAACTATCCACCTTGACAAAGTTTCAATCGAATCTAATCTAATCGAATAAATCTAAATAGTTAGGAGAGATGTTGCTGTCCATCCCTCAACCATTAACTTCCCTTGTTGCCTCTTACAACACCCACGGGAAAGGGAGAGGAGTGAGAAGAATAGTGATTATTATGCGGATTGCAATCGTGATTTTGTACAGGTGATTGAAAATAAAGTGCCGTACCTTGCCAGCCGTCTTTACAAATGCACTGGCCGGTGACGTGGTGGCACGCAATCGCGTTTGAGGAGCAGTTGCACGCGGACTCGCAGCCGTGCCCGAAGTAGCCAGGTGGGCAGCGCCGCTCGCACTTGTCGCCCACGAAGCCCGCAGTACACTCGCATTTGCCTAACGATCATAACAACTTAGTTATAAATCAAATCATCTTCTCGGAGATTTTAAAATTGACCCCTGAAGCTTCTTATACTTAGGAATTGATGATTTGTACTTTGTACGTATGTTCTGTGGTACTTATAACTACTAATTTCATTTTCTTTTTTATGATACTTAGAATAGCAAACTATTCATTTAGCCCATTTGATGAAAAGTGACGATCACCGCCTATAGACATAACACCACAATGGATAGTGCAGAATACAATGTGATTCCCATCCCATAGTATACCTTATGTAATGTCATTCCTGAAGATGACGATGTTATCAAAGGATATACATAAGTATTTACAATACATCTGTATATGTATAATATAATATAATAAAATTGTAAGTACGATTAGACTTTATTAGTTTTACCCTATCGACTTGTTTGTCATTCCTGCTACTATAAGTACTTTGTTTTAGGCAAACGAAGTATTTCACTTACCAGTTACAGGATTACATGGTGAATCATTGTCACAGTCGCAATATTGGAGACAATTCAACCCAAACTTTTTTCGATCGCACGGTCGATCACATTTGTAACCATCATACCTAAAACAATAATAATCCTTCACATAACAATACACAGAAATAACATACGTCAATGATGAATGAAGACACAATTTGCATAATAATTTCCTTCTAATGTTTACTAAGTACTCGATTTATTTTAAAAATATCTAGCTTTAATTACATATAATTGACACAAATAAGTCATATGGTGAATAATAATGTGTGGAAATCATCAACTTTAATTGCTTTGAAATATGAGTATATTATTGAATACGATATATTGCTACTACTAGTATTTTAAAGGCGAGATGAGTCAAGCGATTCGCTGCCGCATAATATTCACGATCACATTAATTTTATAATGTCGTCAAATAGATACTTATTCAAGTGTATTAAAACAAATTTAACGAACCCCTGTTCTGTTGTGCGAATAATTTATATAATATATATATAATTTATCGATAAAGTTTAAGCTTGCAATTCCTTTTACGACTTTTATAAAAAATATATAGAAATGGCATTTGAACATTATTATTTAATAAGGAAATTAAAATACAATAAAAGATATTAAAACTAAATTAAAATAAATTAAATAATAAATTATTAAATTATATACCAACAATAACAATATCGTTCTTACGGTGTAATCACGTAATAAATGATAATACATGGAAAAAAGGAAGAAATGACGTGAATTCCTAGTATTTCTAAGCTTCGTATGTTTGACTGTTCGTTAAGTAATCAGTTTAGTTATCATCAGTTTATTTGATTCGTGATAAGAAAACATTTTGGCGGAAATAACCTAAAGTTCGAAATGTAATATACAATTCGACGGTATAATTTTTAAAATACTATATTATTATGTTTTACGATGCGTATATATATAAGAAAAAGGATTTTGTAAAAACAATTACTAATTCAGTCTTTTAAATATTTTAAGCGATTTAAAAAAGGAGATTTTCAAATCGCCTGTATGATTCTGTGTGTATCATCATCATCATCATATCAGCAGTTATTCGTCCATTGTTGAACATAGGCGTCCCCCATAGACTATCATAAAGAACGGTCGTGAGCCACCTAGGTACATCCACTGGCTCCCTGCAATGCATTTGAGGTTGTCATTTCATCTAGTGGAGAGACGTCCTACACTGCGTTTGCCTGTACGATCGGTTATCAGTTCTTAGAACTATGTGACCAGCCCATTGCCACTTCAGCTATAAGCAAACTGAAGTGGCAATGGGCTTGTCATATATCGGCCACTTTGATTATTTTGCAGATAGCCTCATTTGAGATTCTGTCACGCAAAAAAAAACTACAAGCCCTCTCCATAGTTTGCTGAGTAATTTAAAACTTTTGCATACGAGCAAACGTATAGGACCATATTTCGGTTCCATAAATCATCACTGGCAACAGAAACTGGTTAAAGAACTTCGTCTTCAAACTATATTAAGTTTACCTAATACAGATGAGCCAGCCGAGTTGGATTCGTTGGTTGACCTCTCAATCGACATTGGACTAACTTAGTCGAACAAGTTGTTCCAGGTATACACTATACATACTCGTTGACAACTTTAAGCGTAGTGCTCTCGATCATAACCGGTATAGGTGTGACATGGACGTTAGACATGATCCATGTTCATCTTAAGACCTACCTATTGAGAAGCACTATTGAGGTAATTGAATATAGTATTCAAGTCATTGCGCCATAATTATTACATGATCGCCAAGTCGAAGTTGAGTGATGCGATGTATTTTGTGTGTATGTTTTTATGCAATATCCTAGTCAATTCTGAACTGATTTTTTTAATTATTTTTGCATTCGATAGAGTTAACTGAATCGAACTTAACTCCGATTAATAACTTTTAATTTACTAGTAGCGACATTCCAAAAGTCATAGATTAGATTAACATAAATAGTAAAAAGGGTAGTCACAAATGATATTTTATCAAAATAAAACAATATAATGTAGGTATTATATGATTAGGTATGATTCTATAAACATGATGTTAATACAATAATAATAAATAATTAATTGCGTTTAACAATTAAACTACATTTATTTATCTAAGGACAGCCAACAAAGTTTTATCAACGTAAAACACATTATATATCTGTTTTATTGAAACAATGTATGTATGCTGAGATTAAAATTATTTTCTTAAGACAAACAGTATTGGAAAAACGAGGCGTTAACAGTCATTGTTTTATTTATTTATATACCTACTTGTTTTGTTCTTCATGTATTACATTTATGTATTCGTTTACTTTCTATAAGTTGACTATAGCAAAATTATCTCGTATGTGTACTAAAGAATAAGTAAATTTACTCTTTAGAATGCATTTTAAATGAAATAACGGCGTATAATAGTTTCAAATTTTTCATTCACTCAACCTTGACAACCTAACATATTATAAAGGTGAAAATTTATAAAGACGTTTGATAGATAACTTACTTCTCGTAGCAATTCATATACAATTTGTTTATCTAACTTCCACATTGTTCTGATATTTAAATCTAAGTAATGAAATAATTATTTAATTTCAATACTTAGTACTCACATCTTACTAATACAATAAAATTGTAACTAGACTATGTCTATACGTGGAAAATATTTAAGAAAAAATAATACGAGGCCACTTAATAAAACGGTAATAGATAAAAATAGATGCCAAAACAATAATTATTAAATATTTGGACTATGTGTTTATTTCAACATCACACAGAAATTACTGCACCAAATTGGATGCGGTTATCACAGTTGTGTTCCTGAAGGTCTAACTTGAAATCTGGTGTATGTTTCATCTTTATCACCCTCTAAAAGTAGTATATTCTATTGGATGTTCTACTTCTAAAATCTACGCGTACAAATTAGCGAGCAAAAAGCCCGTCTGTAATATTATTACTACTTGTACCATAAAAAAAGAAATAATATAAATATAATTTATATAAAAATAGTAATCCTGTTAATTTAAACGCTCAACATTCTCTCTGTCCTCGCTATACTACAACTTACCCAGGTTTACAGTAACATTGGCCAGTTTCGTGTGAGCAAGTGGCATTGTTGTAGCAATCACATTTCTCCAAGCAGTTGTCGCCGTATAGCGGGTACGGACACTTTTCTTCACATTGTATTCCCCGATATCCCGGGGGGCACGTGCATGAACCTTGTGAAAAAAATTAACACAATTATATTTCAAATTTCATAAAAAATATACAATAATACGTAAAATATATATCTTAATTTATATCTAATCGTAAAAATGAAATTAATATAAAAAAATATCATACACAGGATGTGATAACGTAAGTATTGTATAATAATGATATTTGAGACACAAATCAACATTCTGAATCAGATTCTAGTTAGCTATCTAAAATATTAGTCCAAACAAAATATTTTATTATAATTTAGATTTGTTATATAAGCCTTTTTAAAAAACAACCGTATTTAAATTTATTAAATCTTCATAATACATACTTTTAAATGTTAAAAAAATAATTAAGAATATAAAGATGCTTAATACTTAGTAGCTGAGTAATATAACAGAAGAACATCAAAAACACATGTAAATGTTGATTTAGGTAGCAAAAAACCATTTAAAAAATTACTGAGCCGATTTTGATAGTTTCTATGGAACCAGTCTGAATATATAATCTGTCAGGTTAAAGAAAATCTTTTCAAATCGATTTATAACATTTAACCGAATTGAAATCCTCTTCCTTTTTTGAAATCGGTTGAAAATATGATGATTCTTAATATCTTCAAAAGCAGAACATTTTAAAAATAATTAATCAAAAACATCGAAAAATATTAAATTATTTTGTACAATAGATAATAATTGTGATGTTGCCACACTTCGGTGAGTAAAAGTAATGAACGGTGTTAAGAAGGATTCGGGAGTAGGTCGCGTGGCGGGCGATGCGTACCGTTGAGGGGTGAACACTGGGCGTCGTTCTCGCAGCGGCACGTGTTGCGGCAGCCGCGGCCGAACGACAGCGGCGGGCACTGCCGCGTGCAATCCGCGCCGCGCCAGCCCGCCGCGCACGAGCACTCGCCGCTCCACGGGTCGCACCTGCAAACATCACACTCGGTCAGGCATCGCTCACTAGTACTTTACAACGGTACGCCGGCGTAGGCAGGCCTACCATTCCTTTTGCACGCATTTCCGCGGCGCTCGTCAGTAGCCGTGGGCAGTAAACGCATTTGCACTTTTTTTAAAGTACCATATAACCAGACCTATGGCCTGGCTCTCGAGCTAGGACACTGTGTGTTATGAGAAATCAGATAATGAATTTCTGGGGCCACAACCCTGACCCAAGCCATATCAGAAAAATTCAATTTCAAATTCGAATCCGGAATCTCAATAGCGCAAAGTGACACGGCTACCACTGCGCTATGGAGGTCTTTAAAATTCTAAATTGCATAAAAAGAACTGTGACCGAGACAATGTTGGAGATACATGACATCTACCTGTGCAAATAGTATCACAAACATAAAACATGGTACAAACGATCTATCTGTATACTGCACGATGTACATTTGTTGGAAAAACGATATTAGTATGCTTTTTGTTCTGTTGTGAAAATCAAATCATTCGACTCGCTTACTATATTCAACATGTTGAATGGCTTCTAATATTTACACTGTAGTATTATCGTACACGTAAATAATAAATCGACCCGAGATATCGATTATCGTGTATAAAGATTAAGATAAGGCCAGATTTATATTCAAGTCAATTACAAATGTCAATGAAACGTCTCGGCGCTGACCGAAAACTGACCTACATTGTTTATATACAATCAATCCTCGTGGTCCTTTCCTTATGATGCACATACCTACAATTAGTAAGGAAAAATGTTTTAAACTATTCTGTAAGGCCATTTTTCACAGGTCTGGCCTAAGTAACTATCCATTGTCGTTTTCACGAACCTAGTAAATATCAAACAATAACTGTATGTATTTTGCAATCAGTTCTGAATTACCAAAATTTTTCTATAATTGCTGTCAATATTCAATTATGTGTTGCGCAAAAGTGATCACACAGCAATTATCGTTAATGTTGCCTCTAGGAACTAAAAACTGAATTTACGACTATTTTGTTTTACATCTATCTATATATATTGATTACAAGTGGCAGTTTATCAGAGGAAAAAGCACCTAGCTTTCTAGTACACTAAGTTCTAGAATACTAATACGAAGTGTGATTGCCTTGTAATCGACAAGGCATACACACTTCGTATTAGTCTATGAAATGTTCTTGTGAATAAGCAACGGTTACCATCTATCTTATATTGGGTGGGTTACATCAACTTGCTTGACATTGTCAAGTTACATACAAAAATCTATAGACATGTAATAAATTCGTAACTAGACAAAGTCTATACATTGGAGGTATTTAAGAAAAACTGTTATATCTTAATAATAATAATATAAGCCAACACTATTTTTTTGTGTTTTGATCCGTCTGTAAGTATATTTAAAAATTACTGCCTCAAATTAGATGTGGTTTGTTTAGTTGTGTCCTGTACATCCAACTTAGAATATAATGTATGTTTTTTTTTTATTTGATACGCCATCTAGAAATGATTGTTTGATTGATATTGATTTTCCTACTCGCAAAATCAACGCATACGAAATTGCGGACAAAAGCTAGTTAAAAATAAACTTGGTGGTATTCAGAAACGCACATTTCAGTGTTGGCGGGCTCGCAGTCGCAGTCGTGCTCGCAGTTGGGCCCCCAGCGGCCGTCGTCGCAGGCGCGCTGCTCGCAGCGGTCGCCGCGCCAGCCCGGCTTGCACGTGCACGAGCCGTTGCGCGGCGAGCACGAGCCGCCGTTCTCGCACGAACACTTGCTCATGCAATCAACCCCGTACATGCCCACTGGACATTCTTCTAAACACTACAAAAATGTATTTTAGAATTATTTTTTGATACTATATAGAACCAGCGAACCACTTCGGTTTGGTATGATTTTTATTAATAAAATATAGCCCATGTTACTCGCTGATAATATAGCTTTCTATATATCAAAGAATGTTTGTATGTCATGTAATATGTTGTGTAAAATATCAAAGAATTGGTAAAATATTTTTTGAGTTTATCCATTACAAACAAAAAAATAAATATTTCCTCTCCTTAATATTAGTTTATATTTACCATAATGGATATGCTAACACGAAAGCTAGTGACAGTATTCATATCATCATTATTCATATCATTGACAACTAACACAGGATATGAAAGTTTGTAAAGTTACGGACTAAAATAAAATGTTATGTACAGACATTATTTTCGAGATAACGAAACAGAATACTCTCAGAACTCTCAGAACAATCTCAAAATTATTATATCATCACATCTGCCTTTAACTATCCACTCCTGAACACAGACCTTTCCTATCGACTGCCATAAGGAACGATCCCGAGCGACCTACATTTACTGACACATTACAAATCATTTAAGGTCGTCACTCCATGTAATGAGGGGTCGTACCTAGAATATAAAACAATACTGTAAAGAAATCAAAACTATTTCGGCTTGCTATCGGTTAAAACTAACCCCTTTTAACAAACCGAATTATTCCGAGTGACATTGATAGATTCGCCTCTTGTCACTTTGGAAACTAATATGCTCAGCGCAAAATGAATATGAGTGTTACGTTCCACTACAACGATCACCATGCCTCTGACTAGGGGTATCTTAGATAAGGAATTACAGCTAGGAGTATATTTATTTAATTATTGTAAATAAATTTAGCTACTATTTTGCAAAAGTAATTTTGCTCTATGATATATTATTAGCCTATTTTCCTTATATGTTACTTGACAATTAATTAATAAAATATAAAATTGCCTAAGTAGGTTTATGTGGTTTCTAAAGAGGATATTGATTAAGAAATATAATCAATTTTGTGTTTAAATAAATTAAACTATGACACATAATGACATACCACCAACATATAGGTACTATCTATAAATAGTATAATCCTTATCCCTACTAATATTTTAAATGTGAAATGTAATATATTTGTTACCTCTTGGCGCCCCAACGGGTCATAAATCTTGAAATTTGATATACAAAGTAGTATTTAGGATGGATAAGAATATAGGCTAATTTTTATTCCGGTCAATATTGCAGTCTTGCGGAAAAAGTTGCGGTTAAAAAGTAGTATTAAGTATCACAGTAAAATATGCAACAAAAAGTTTTAAATGGGCAATAAATAATTTATGTAACTAATTAGTTATATGTAACATCTAATAAATTATAATACCTTTTCTCCAGTGAATCCTGCCTCACATTGACACTGGCCAGTAACGTGATGACAGCTCGCTCCATTGGCACATTCGCATGTTCTCTGGCACTGTTCACCCCATTTACCCGAAGGACATCTAGCAAAAGGCGAATAAATGGCGTTACTACTTATAACACATTCACGTCATTAGGCTGATCTTTTACGGAATACCTTGTTCATTTATAAACATGAAAAAATTTTATTTTTTTGATACCTGTTCGCACAAACTTCCCCGGTCCACCCGGGCGTGCACTGGCATTCACCAAACACGCTGCATTTTCCATTATTTTGACAACGGCAACCTTGTTCACAAACTTCTCCATTAGGACAGGTTTCATTGCATCTAAAATTATTATATAAGATTTTAAGTTAAAGGTCATATACCTACTTTATTTAATGCAAAACATAAGGTACCGAGTACAACATTAACCAATGTTTGAGGGAATTTCGGGATACTCACAGCCTGCGTTATAATAGAATAATAAAAATTTCAGGCTGTGCGTTGAGAGATCAGATAGTGAGGATATTTTTTATACAAGTATGTACTTGCATGTATTATAAAGCGTTGTAATGTTACGTATGTACTATAAAGCATGACATATTAATTATTTTTTGTAAATTGAGAAATTGTCGCTGACAATTTGTAACATATCTGACGATGTCCTAGTATGATGGGCATTATATACCATCATGTAAGAAATAAAGAAGGGAAATTTTACTGTATTTTAAAAAAAATGTAACAATAATTTTTCTAACTCTAAAAACAAATAGCGAGTAAAAACAAAGGAAAACAAAGTTCAATTACTGTGTGTTAAACTCAATCAATTAATCAATACATAAATCGTTTACATGAGAATTATTACCTACCACTTCAAGCAAATGATTCAAATAACATGAATCGAAAGGATATGTCCCTTCGAGTGAACTACAAGGATGTACGCTATTATGAGCATGATTCAACACAATAAATCTCAATTCATTTAAAGTCACATAAACTCATTGTTTTTCATACATTTTACTTATTCCAATTTTTATTTTTCCCTATGGTATAATACGAATTAGAATTTAAACTACTTATTTAAAATGGTTTAGTCCTTGCTAATAAACTTGAACTGTGCACATAATTTAAATTTTGTAAATTTTGATTACCTATGATATTTTTATTATTGCGACTTGGTGGAATTTCAAGTTTATAATTCGAATATCAGACACGAACTGGATCATGAGTAGACCACCTAGCAAGAATTTTGATATATGCACATATATCTTTCTCAAAAAAGTCTTTAAAATACTCATTCGGTAAATACTGCTATTATATTTTAAAATAATATTTTTTCAGTATTTTGTGTTAAATGATTATTATAATCACAGTTATGTTCGAGCAGAACTCCACACGCTAATAAGGACTCAAGAGATGTCCGAAACTAGTCGGATATCCCCGAATTTAAAACACGAATAAAACAAATATAATTACAATATAGTATGACTTCGACAGTCATTATTAAATGATTATTTTTAAAAAGTGTTGAAGCAAAAAAAATTTTTGACGTTGGACGAAAATAACATTTCGGCATTTGTTTAATATCTATTATATTTTGTAATTATAATTTGTAGTGCTACAATATTGCAAATACATAATTCATTGTTGCGTTGTGTCTTCTTGATAAGTACAGCATTGTAATATTATTAAATTAAAAATAAATAAACTATATGTAATGACGCATTTAATTACAGTTATAAGAAAACATCAATATTTCTTTGTTCATTATTATTTACAAGTAATACTTATTATATAATATACATAATAATAAATACATATACATTAATGGGAAGTCCCCAAACTTCTAAATATTGTTTAATAGGACTATGAAGAATAAAGTTAACAGTAGAAATCAATGAATGTAGGATTTCTCATTTTTAAGGTTTCATATTAAAAAGGTATAAAAGAACCTTTATGGTGCTACTTTTTTAGTAAATCTCCTACTTCTGTACATATTTTTTTATGCTACTTAGAACTGAAAACAAACTGATGGAAAATAGTAACCGCTTATAGACATGAACAGTACCACGAACATAACAAGTACAGTAACATAACAAGACAGTGTACTTAAGTATGCAGTAACTGCATACTTAAGTACACTGTCGTCCATGATACCCCTCATGCCTTACCACTCCTGAGGATTAAGGTGTCTATGTAACCTGTACCCACATATGAAACTATAAAAAGAATATGTAACTGCAGTAACTGCATACTTAATTGCTGCTTATATATTAATTATATAATCAGTAGAAATACTTACAGTGGGCCAGTAAATCCTGACTCGCATGTGCAAGCCCCCGTAGCAGGATCGCATGTTCCATTTTTACAACGACAATTTTCTCTACAATTGTCACCAAAAGTCGGAAACGGACATCGTCGCTCGCAGGAGACTCCGCGCCACCCCGGTGCGCAGGCGCATTCCCCAGTTAGCACCTCGCAAGTACCTCCGTTTTGACATCGGCAATAATTCTGACAGTGACGACCCCACTTGCCTTTAGGACATGCTAATACAAAACAAATAATATATTGTATATTTACATAAAGTTTATGTCGCGAAACAAAAACTATAAAACACACCTTATAAAATTAATTGATTACTGTTGTTCATTTTTATTCCCCATCATTATAGCTTTCCATTATTTCAAACCCATTTTTATTACATGAAATTTTGTTATTTTTCATTATTATAATAAAAATTTTGTATTATTTAAAAGTCAATTGGTATGCAAAAGTTGATATCGGAGTAGAATTAGTTACATATTATTATTACATCTAAAAAAAATACAGTTTTGACTGACGGCTCTATTTATGTAATTTTCAATCCTAAAACTATCACATCAGATTGTTCGCTTACGGTTTTGTCCTAAATATTTTTACTTGCTCTAAAGCAAAAATTGCAAAAACCCGTTTAAAAATTTATGAATAGCATATAATTAGTCCTAATAAAAATCTAAATAAGTAACACTACTGGTTATATCAAGTGAATAAAACAAGATCTCACAAAGCAAACAAAAATGTTTCTTTCCTATCTCCTCGTTCTTTATTTAATATGCTGAATATATATACTTTTTGATCCCATGAATAAACTAACTCCGGAATAAACACTCCCAGCCTATAAACAAATGCTGTATTCGATAAAAAATTTAAATCAACAATAATAATTAAGATTATATTTGGATGATCTCTCACACAAATATTGATATTTTTATGATAGTAATAATATATATTTTCATTCGGTAGAGTGAGCAATATTCATACTTTCCTCGAATGAAAGAAAAATAGAAGTCCATTACGTTACAAAAACCAATATTTGTGAGATGAGACGTTCTAGTTCTATGAATACAGCGCAACTCATCATATTACATTACGTTACAAAACAAATAATATCATTACAGCTTTTAAACATAATTATATATGCATAATGTGTTATTTCCGTTGTATTCATAAACGAAAAATCCTAAATGTGTCGGACATGCGCGAATAGAGTTCCGTTGCCAACACAAAAAGTTGTTTAATTTTCCAGTGTAATTTTTTACCTTGCACTAGGGATAATTAAGAATGCACGCTTTATTATCAGGTTTCTCGAACAATTATTACTTGAATCTGCTCATAGAAACAACAGTAAGTATATAAAAATATTAGTCAAATAACAAATTTTCCCAACATAATTACACTTTTCGTGAAGATTATCTTTTTATAACTATGTGTAATTTTATGAAAATCGACTTTACTTGTAAATAGTACTGTAGCTCTGACAAACAAATAGATATGATCAAATAAAACCATTTTATTTGCTTACGGAACCTAAAAAATAACCGTAAAATTAATAACATGTAGGCATATTACAAGAATGTAGCAGATGTCGCAAATAACACGTAGAGTTCGAGGAATACTTACTTATTATTCACAAGAACATACAAAGATATTTAACCTAATATTTAAACTACATAAACCATTTCTAAACAAAATGTAATAGATATAGCACATGTGAAACCTTAAACTTGGTTACTAACGTAACTTAGGCTTATTACTCGTAATTTAGGCTCTATGTTTTTCAAGAAAAACAAACAAGTGTGATTAGACTAATTTCACCCTATGTTCCTTGCATTGTTTTACCGAAAATCATATTATTATTACACTTGATATCATTATTACCTACTTAATTAATTATATATAAATCGGTCTAAAATCATCAAAATTTCAAGCATTCCTAAATTTACAAAAGTAAGAAATACTACCATTATTACCAATAAATATTTCACACATGAATATATGCCAATAAATATTAAGTACTTACATATATCACATGCGGGTCCCCCATATCCGTGAGTACATGTACATGTGTTAGGCGCAACACAAACGCCGTGTACACACTTGTCCTGGCACACTGGCACACATTGCTGATTCGCATCGTCTGGCTCGTACCCGGCGCAGCATCCTTCAACGAGCCTGTACTTCAGCAGAGTCACATTCTTGAAAACATCTCGAAACTTGATTTTGTATTTGGAACATTTCGGTGGGACGTTGAAACACCATGCATACTCTTTGATTTGGTACGGTTCCTTCTCGGATACTCTTATTGTGGTTACGTATCTGGAGAAGATATAATTGTGCAGTCACTACGAATAATAATAATAAACAAATGCAGTGCATAAATATTGTACATAAGTATAACTACGCGGTTAGCAGCACAACTAAATAAATTTAACAGAAACGATAAACTTGGTACCATTTAGACTATAACAAAAACTACTTATAAAAATATAAAAGACTTTCCATGTTTAGGTAATAATGCAATGTAGAATAATTGTCGGGTAAAAATTGCCATAGGTCGATGGAGGCCAAGGGTGGCGACGACATTTTGACGACATAGTGACGCATATTTTACGCAATTTTGTTCTTTCATTATATAGAACCGTTAAGAAGCCTGTCCACAATAATAATTTTAATTTACAATAAATAATCTAAATTTCATATATAATCTAAATTCATATCATAAAGTATTTTTCTTCAAATTGATTAATACAGTCCTAACAATCAAGGCAAAACATAACAGGAAGGGTTCGTTCGATAAAGTTAACTGACCCGTTCAACAACTGTGATGTGACGAGAGGTAATCAGTCGCCCCGCCATTGAAAAATAAATAAACAATGCATTCGGTTTACGGTCAACTCTGGTTAACAAAGAACAATAAGCATGTATGAGATAATGGTTGTCTGTCTGCTTTTGCCGAAAAATTCAAAAGGAAATTTCATGCTATTACGATTTCAAAGTAATACTTGAAGATAGGATTTTGAACACTGTATATAAGTACACTGTTAGGGATTTGGGTATCTACCTTATAATGTCACGTACCCGTGTGTGATTTTGATGATGAATATGGTTATGATGTCAATTTTTATAACATCATAATAAATAAACGCACATAATATAATATTATGACTCGCAAAAAAAATAAACAATGGCTTCAATTATGGTAATAAACCCTTTCGATTGCAGAAAAGTATTATCAAAGTAAGTTTGAAATGGGCATTGATATCGTGGACATACAAAAGAAATCGTGATGAATGTACTCTTTTTTGAAGTCGATTAAAAATGAAAAAATATTCTGCCACATTTAGAGCAATCGATAACAGGTATTTAGGTCTTTTTAATAAGTTAGTATGCCCAAAATATCAACTACTTTTTTTACCTCTTCGTATAACTATGCTCGAATAAATGTGGCTTTGAACAATAACCATATATAAAGTGGCATAGCTAATAATAATAATGACTGGTCTAAGTTTGATCCACTCATGGCGAATTTTTATATCTTAATAAAATTATAACAACACGTGTATGACATATTTATTTTAAATAACTGCAGATGTTTTAAAGATCTTTTACAGTTCTACTGTGCGAAACTATTATAGAAATACCAATGCGATGACAAAACTTTACTATTTCGCATCGACAGCAGTATCACACATGTACTATGTATAAATGTAGATATCCGTAGTATTGTATATGTTGCAGTCAAAACTCTTAACCAGTCAAAAGCACTATTGACTATCAAAATCAGTCAAAAATACTTTTGACTAAAATAACAGTTAAAAATACTTTTCTCAATGGAACTGGTTAAAAGTACATTTGACTAAGTGATTCCGTCAAAAATGGTTTTGACTGGTTGTATCAGTCAAAACTCTTAAAAAGTCCTAACGTAATTTACTTAAATTAGATTACGTGAGGTTAGTATGTTTTCTTTGTATTGATTGTAATGCCAAATTTTTCGTTGCACATTTAATAAATATCTTTTTTTCATCTAACGAGTTAATAGTGTTTATGACTGATGCTTTATTGCAGGTAAAACTACTTTTGACCAAGAGCGTCAGTTAAAAGTACTTTTAACCGCAAACTTGCAGTCAAAAGTACTTTTGAATGATTTTCCTAGTCAATAGTACTTTTGACTGGTTAAGAGTTTTGTCTGCAACATATACAGTACAGTGAGACCAAGGAAAACACATTTCTTAACTAGCAATTTCCTGCTGTTACGTCGGAGTGAATCACCTTTTATTTTGTAAAAATTCGGGATATTTGTTTTAAATTTATGTGTAATATGAACATAAATAATAGAATTAAAATGAAAATGGGCCCGACACTAAATCCTACTAATATAATAAACGAGCTGTGTGCGAGAATGCTATACTATAATAATAAAAAACGTTTTTACAATTTCTATCATAAATTGAAAAATGCATGACATAAAAAATAAAACGATCATGCGAATTGAACTCACACACCGGGGGTCCCGTACAGAGATATGAGATACCATCATCTTCCTACCCTTATTCCAATTTATTTGGTGTCGAATATTTTTTATGAGATAAAATTACCTTTATTGTATTTCCTATATGAAATAGATATCAATATTTAATTTTTGATGATTTCTCAAATACTGTTTCTTTTTTCACTAAGCTATGTTTTACATTGTTTTGTTTTTCGTATAATATTCATCTCTTTTACTATACAACATTTTACATTCTTATCTAATCCTACCTAATTCTACATAAATTGAAACAGTTTTGAAAACAATATAATTATTTGGATAAGAATTTAAACAGAAGTATGAATAACATGGTGTAATTTTCGACGGTATTTCTATCAACTGTTAAAATGTAAAAAGCGGTTATCGTGACATAACAATAATAGTTGGACATATAGTATCGCGAAGTTTCTTGTAGTTATTGATATTTTCTTCAATACTGTAGAAAATAGTTTTGCTCTATCACCAATAGTTTCCGCAGCGTACGCGACGAAAGATATTTTATAGCATTTTTTAACTTTGACTTACGTTATTAAAAATTTATTAAGGATCCCTAATCTGTTCTAGCAATAAATATAGCCTATGTTACTCGGGGTGAATGTAGCTTTCTAATGGTCTAAGAATTTTTGAAATCGGCAAAGTAGTTTTTGAGTTTATTCATTACAAACATACACACAAAAATACAAATCTTTCCTCTTTATAATATTAGTATAGATGTAGATAAATCATTTTACGAGTAGATTGTTCGCTACATAAACAGCGGAATTAAGGAAGGGAATAGCCTTCTTTTTCATATTCAATCATAAAAAAAATATACAATATATTCTACTAATAAAACACTTAATCGAAATAGTAGGTTTTGTATTAGAATATTCTTTTATAATTATGGTGCCATGCAATTAGACGTGGGTTATAACAGGACAAACATAATATCTGTAATTGCTGTTACTGTAAATATTACAGGTACCAATATCTGTTATTAAATAACAGGTGTTATTATTTTCAACTACGGCCCATTAGGAAGGAATTAACATACAAACATCAGTTTATGTATAATACTAGGTGCATCTCATTTTAGCAACAATATATCAAATGGGTGTAAGCGAACTAGATTAATAAACGAAATAACAGATAACAAAATCTAATAAAAAAGTTCGCTTTTCAAAGAGAATTTCTTTTTATGAAACGCCTTACTATAATTTTGGTTTATTTCAAATAAATACTAGGTTCGTCTCGTTTTACCTTATGACAATATTATACAAAAGACAAAGACAAGAATAGTTGTTTCATATGTGAATTATAAATGATATTTTTAACAGATATAATGATATTACAAGAACAACTGTTATCTATTATATTCGAAAACTTGTGATTTATATCTGTTATGATAAAAACGTGCAATTGCCAAAAAATCATAATTATTATAGAAATAGATGTCTAATATCTTAGAACCATTATAAATGCTAATAGGTAATTGTTGATAACAATTTATAACAAAGTTGTTGAATAGGCGCTTTTATAAATACTAACTAACTGACTTGGTTATACGTGAGATCTCACAACTTATAGTAATGGAAGAACTGCGTTACGAGACGAGGTCTTCTTTTTTCATAGTAATATATATTATCTGTCAGCTACAAGCACGATGCGTTATTTGAATGAATAAACGTAATTTTTAATAAGCATTATTTTTCATTTCATGAAAATGAATAATGAAATTTAAAGTTTTATTATGCTTTCTTTCCTTTATGGGCTAAACGTTAATTAAAATTTGAAGTTTGTGAGATTGCTAGACGTACCTTGGAATTATAATGATCGGTGAGTGTGTCAGTAACAAATTAAAGAAATCTAAATAACGATAATTCGCAAATAATACAGTATAATTATGAGATACAATGGTTATAGTATATTATCTTGAATTATTTAAATACATTTTTCTAAATCCTACAGTCATACTGATGAATACAAATGTTTGTATTGTACGGGCATCGAACTCAGTGGTGTATTAAATTACCAAATCTGCGGTCTAACCACCAAAGACGTCAAATACGTAACATATATATTAATTTATTATTTTGTCAGAGTTTATTATTTAATATTTATAAATCATCTAATATTATATAAGTATAAATCATCTAATATTATATTAACGACAATAAATACATATACATTAAATTACAAATACATATTGCTAAATATATAACTAATTATAGTTACTGTACAAATTAAATCATAATTAAAACATTAAGTACCTATTAAATTAGAAGTACCCACTTATACTTATAATTTAAATATATAAATTAGGTCATTATGTTCCGCCGTCTATTGTACGTGTAGATAATAGTAATGAAATTTTGTCCGGACGCCTATGCAGTTGCAGGTATCACATTTCATGTCTAATATTTGATAGCACTTGGCATAGTCACATATTATATTAAATATTGAGTAGCTACTTAGTTACTAGTTTATTTTTGACACAAATTAGGTTTAGATATACCTACTACTCTCAATTTATAGAAATTAGCCATAAAGAAAAGTCATAGATAGCTATAGCTAGCATACCTATTTATTATTTAGATGTTATTACAAAAACTAATATTACATTATGCTAAGGTAACCCTAATTTAATAATTTCGATCTGATTGAATAATATTTTAGTCAGATTGAGATTGAATCCAAAAATAAATAAAATTGGTATTACATAACGTTTAAATTTACTTACGGCTGTTGTACAGTGCATACATTGGGTCCCTCCAATCCAGTCGCAATGTGTAAAAGCAGCAATACGGTACCAGTTTTCATCCACATTTCGATTTTATTCTCACAACCTAGCAATTGTAGCATTCAGTCTCCATAACAAATGTATTGATCCGTCGTGTTTATGTTCCTTTGCGTTTATGTGAGGTTATGCACTTTTCCATTACAGGCCACTTTATTTTTTGACAACGTTGAAACATCTGAAACAAACATTTAATTATCGGTTGGTGGCACTTGTACTATAATAATAAATTTCCGGTAGTATTGAGTTTAAATACAAAGCAGTCAGCCTAATTAATAAACAATTACATTATATGTAACATCAATATGCAATATTGTCGACCTCTGCTATAAAAGTTAATCTAGACAGAAGAACCCCCCTTAAAGTCGTCACACTGCAGCGACAGAAAAATGAAAGATCATCGTAAGGAGCAAAAGGAACAATTATTGTCAAAAATAGAAGTTAAACAATGAAATAACGACTTTGGAATGCAATGTTTATGCTAATATACATCTTTCGCACGTTTGATAGCTTGACTACATTTGTTAAGAATTTTGCAGGTTAGCAGTTCTTTATTCGTTTCCTTTTACTGGTTATTTGAATAGAATTATTTTGTTTAGTTCCGCTACCATTAGTATATGTGCGACTGCTAATATTCGAAGATTGACTACAACTATGACTACCAAGATTCACAACCAGCAACTGCCATTTAGTTCAGGCATGTTTTGCGATGCTTGTTTCACCTCTAAATTAAGCATTTTCAGGCAAATTAATAGATCGCTGCTCAGAACCTAGTGTTAACAATTCGGCACCCAAATTGCGAATTGCATAGTGTTGGCAGTCGCACAAATACTAATGGTAACGAAATTAAACAAAATTCAATATTTGATTTGAATTATTTTGAATTTATTATTTGAATTATATTGTATATCATTGATTAACTTCCGCAAGATAACACCTAGTTCTGTAGAACATTAAGAAATCGTTTGAACGAAGGATTATAGAAAAGTACTCTGCGCTAAATAATTATAGAGTGTTAATTAAATTTACGTTATGAAGAGAATGATTACGAGTAACTCTTTGTGAATATGAAAATTGATTCAACGACGTTTTCAACCCTACTCGATCGCATTGCGGTTTTTGCTACGCAATATTCGGGCTACTGGTTTTGTATTCTGGTATTTTAACATTATAATAACTACTATTTTTGTGGATTTAGTCTAGTTTAATAACCTAAGTAACGATGAATCCTATACCACATACATTGCAATAATGTGACCATTACGAATAATCATCATTATATCAGCCGTTACTGTCCACTACTGAAAATAGTCCCCCCCGCCCATTTGGGTGAGGGAAAAGGATTATTAGTAATGAGTTCTAACAGCTCCATTAGTAACAATATACCCTATCAGGTCGACCTCCACGCGTTTCCCCCCTGAAAACCATCTTGGTTAATTCTACATTTTTTTAAATATAAAACTTAAAAGATTTATTTAACATTATATTAAATAACCAATAACTTACGATGAAGAGAATATGGTAGTGATAATATATATATTAAAAGATATATAGATATTAAAAGCGCCATAAGAGAGCATTTCATAAGTAACAAATAAAGTACTTAATTAAAAAAATTTTAATATCATATATCTAGGACTTTTATGTACGAGCATTAACACTTATAAACGTTCGATTTTTTTTTATTAAATTGCTGCTTATGGAAATGATTTTTTAAAGCGTTTTCGTTTTAAATTTACATTAAAATTAATTTAATTTATATGATTATTACTGTGAGTTTGTCTATGCGTGTTTAGAAGAATATCATCTTTGCCAATTCAATGCCCATTTTGACGATTAATTTTTCAATCGACATAATTTAAAGACAAGAACATTATTTTTGTTCAATTTATTTACTCATTGTATCTGCATGAATAAAAATTATTTTACAACTTAACTTTTTTATTTATGTAATAAATACTATTCGAATCATGTGAATGTTATTTATAAAATATCGAATGTTCCGATATGTAAAAAAAGCATTATTTAAGTCAACCATCAGTATTACCTAAATCAATTTATTTTATTTTTATATAAGAAACACCCAAAAAAATACAAAGAATAAAAATATAATGAGCAGACCCCAAATAAAGGCTCTACCTTATGTTGACGAATATCTAACTTAAAAGTAATAATAAATAGTCGAAAAATCTATGTAATTTAAAGTCTAAAAGGACTATGTAAGTCGATTAAAAATAATAAAATTGTTTGTTCCCTTTTTGTTCATGACGTAAGTTAAAAATAGTTCATAGTCGCCACTGCATGTTTGTGTAGAGTTGGAGATGTATATACAATGACCTAAAATTTGGCACAGAAAATTTCTAACATATATGTAGATCATTCATTATGTACCTATATATATGCCTACCAGGTATCGAATTTGAAATGATTACTCAATTGTTTCATAATTATTACTAGGTAATTATAATAGAAATATAACACGTAGGAATCAAGCGCATCGTGAGTATTATCAAAACATTAACTAACGGTTTTTAGTTAGACAAAACAATTGAGGTCGCTGTTATGAATGATTATGAATTAAACGGATTGCCTGCCGAAAGAGGTGCGACGTGTCAGCAAACATTAATCGCCATGTGGGCCAACAAAGAATATTAAAAATAACAACAATAGTATTAAAAAACTTAAATCAGTATTCACATACTTAGTTAAGAACATTCATAACTTCTGCTAACCGAAGCGTGGCCATGTCGCAATTATCTGTCAATTTTCAAAAACAAACAATTTTCAATGTAACTGACTAAAAAAAATAATTAAAAACGTTTATCGTACAACAATATTTATATGAAGCTGTCATTAAAAATTTGGATTTTGATTATAATAATTAATCTATTTGAAAAATTCCAAAGCAAATTATGTAATACAAAGTTTTTAGTGGCAGATTTATATACAACATATTCTATGATTAATGTTTTAGTTCGCTAACAGTTTCAGATTAAAAAATATTCAACTGTTTTTGGAAATTGATAAAGAATTGCGCTATTGCTATACTTCGTTATGAACGCTCTTAGTAAAAGCAATAGATACCAAAATATTAATTTGTTCGCACGCAAAAACTACTCCATTAAATTAAATGCTTTTTTCACACTTGTGTGGTCATACTTGAAATATGGAGTATGTTTTATTGTGACTTGTGACTCCATCTCTAGAGGCTACCCACTTCCAAAATCCACACATACAAAGTTGCAAACAAAAGTTATTACACAATAATAATTTCTATTAATTCAATAATAATATATATTATTTAATATTATATCAATAATAATCAAATAATCTGAAAATTAATTGAAATAATTACTGTGTATTAATAACATATATATAATATAAGCATGATTATTACATTATTATTTATTTATTTTTATTTATTTACTGTAATAATTATTACTTAATATTATACACAGTAAAAACTATTTAATTAGAAGAATGTATGTTAGGAAAATATTTAACTCCATTATTAAAAAGTATAACTCATAATATTTATATAACTAGAGCAGATTAAAGCTAAAAATCAAAATAAGTAATTAACAAATTCCTTATACAAGAAAATTTATTTCAATATTGTCAAAATTAATAGGAAACTAACATGCATCTTCATCCATTTGATTAAAAAAAAAAAAACATAAATTAGTTGAAAATTTACAAATATATCACATTTTATATAAAAAATATTCAAAACAAAACAGTACAGTCAATTCAAAATCTTCTCCATTTGGATATCACTTAACAACTCAACATAAATTTTAAAGAAATTTTAAATTACCAAATTTAAAAGAAAATGATAAATATTTTTAGTGTAAACTCATAAAATTTTAACTCTCCAAAGAAGCAACTAAGAAAAATCAGACCAATTTTTCTCATTTAAATAATACTTATAAAACTGCAATTATTTTTAAGAAAGTTTGTTACTCAATCAGACTTAAATGAGTAAATGGATTGAAATGGATTTTGACACAATGGTAGGTTAGATCCTAACATAACAGATAAGATTCTTTATAATAATTCATGCGAAAAAGACCCGAAAAATAGCTAGTCACAGAATAACTTGCACCTAGTCCTATCACTAAAATTTTTTTGCTATTTGATTTTTCAGTTTATAAGAATTTTGTAGCTCAAATAATATTTTTGTTCATTAATTAATTGATTATAATTAATTCAGTTTTTATATAATAAAAAATATTAGAAAATAATGTATTGTGAATTATTTTTAAAAATTTATAATAATATATTTCTATATTATTTAATATTGTATATAGAAATATATTATTTAATATCCACACAGAGGGAGACTTTACACTTATATGATACCTTTATATGATAACTTTACAGGGGTGTCAGCTTGTTTGCCATTCTAAGTTGCATAAAAAGAATTATGCAGCTGCAATTCTTATCAAAAATCTTGTCAGATTAATAAATTATTATTCCACTATTTGCAATTATTCATTCAGAAAACTATACCACATCTTCTCATCCAAAATACCTCAAAATTTGAACATAAAGGTTTTCAATCAGTGCCTATTGCCAATGATGATCTACAGACAAAATATTGTCCTACACTATTGCCCATATGCAAAAGCTTCAAGTTACTCTGAGGGCTATGCTCAGAGATTATTTGCATGACAAAATCCAAAAAGAACAAAAGTAATCAACATAGCCTGAAGGATTAATAAGCTGAAGTGGCAATATCACATTTGGAATACCAGGGAATGAGACAGTAGATTAAGCACCCAAACAGGCTATTGAAGACAAAACAGAAATTGTATGTAAACCTTATGGAAATGAACTGATTTGTAAAATTAAATGTTATTGTGTCACTAAATAGAGAAACCACTTTAAAAACTACTCAGGTACAAAGGAGATATGATATAAAAATAAACAGCATATGCCTTTATTGGTACCATAATTCAAACATGTCTTTCAAGACCCCATTTCGTTACAGCAATCAGGTTGTGATTTGGCCATATTCTACTCAAAATTTTTTATCATGTTATGGGAGTTAAGCAGTCACCAAATTATACATACTGTAATAAAATAGAAACTCCTTATAAATTTCTGGTAAAACATGGTCAGAATTACAACTTGAAACAATGAATTCTGGTGGATATGTCTTTATATAATGATAGCATCAATGTACTCATTTGGCTAACCTAGCAGTTGCTATACCAAACACCTATATCTGCGGGTAAAGATGTCCCTGACAAATTGTTACAAAAATCCTAACATTCAGATATTTCTTATGAGACTGGCTATATATTTATTCAGGTGTACTGAATGCTCAACAAAAATTAGAATAAAAAAAATTTGATATAAAGGGAACTAATTTATATATAATTTTTGAATGAATTTACACAGTAAGTAAGTAAGGTAACCACAACAAAAATACAGAGAATTGAGAAATTTATTCTTTTGAAAGTTGCCCGAAAAAGAGATATCAACTCCTATTTTAATCCCTAACCACCCGATAAACATTGATTCTAAAACCAACTATAATGAAACTTGCTTATCAGATCTAAGAAATGTCCATGCTTATAAAAAAAATCATGGCATTTGAATCGCAAACATATATGGATGTGTCCGACATACATAACAGAATTCCAAAATCGGATTATTTCCTAAGTAACTTTAAACACAGATAACTTATAAATGATGATGATTTGTTAATAGTTATAACAATAGAAAATTTAACAGTTGTGTAATATATTAGACAATTTATGAACGAGGATCATATTATCAGGATTAAGTGATATTGCCTATGGATAGTTGATAGTTCACAGAATTTCTAAACAACTAAGAACAATGAATCACTGTTTACTTACCTAAATTAGATGATCACTAATAAATGTTTCACATTACCGTTCAAGGTACATCCAAATAAGAAAACAACAAATTTTTATTTTGTTTAAATATAGCTAATCACACTAAAAGTTTAAACTATAACAAAATATACTACACTTAAAGAAATATTATTTAATATAAATATCTTTGTAAAAGAAACTTTAATCGCCCCGTCAAACAATTTATGTCCACAACCAAAACATCATAAAACACAGAGTAGGTAGGGATGGTCGATATACATCGTTGTTTTGTAGCATCAAATCGAATCAATGTTAATTATCCGATTTATATTCCGATTGAACAATGCCTAATGACTGCAGTGGCTTTCACGACGTTTTGTAAATCAGAACGTTCAGCTACACGCCTATCATTTATAGATTTGCTTAAAAGGATTATATTGCCTTTGCAAAAAAATGCACTTCAATGATGTTATAGCTTTTTAAGAGGCCGAAATTATAAGTAAATTTAATCCGATTCTAAAAAGTCTGATAAAAATCAAGAGATTTGTCATGAAATGATCAACTAGAAAAACAACAAATCTAAAAATGATTTCATTGATGAACGTTCAAACTGAACGAAATCTTAGAATTCCTGTTTGAATATAAAACGAAAATTCTTTAGAAATCTGGAGGAATTATAAAGTTCAATTCTTAACACTACATAAAATAGTTTTTAATTATCTATTTAACTATTTTTGACATATCTGTTTCATCAGACTTTTTTCATTTTTACAGGCAGAGCTAGTCTTGATAGAGAAAAGGAACCGATTGAAGATAAAAAGATTAAGTAAACTCTTGTTTTTATATAATAATATATAATAATATAAGCCTTTATTCAGACAATTTTTTTTTTAAAAAACAACGTATTAACAACTTATTATTTAATTGCTGTTGTCTGTTTGCTTATTAGCAAAGGCCTCCTCCAACTGTGTCCAATGGTCTCTATTGCTAGCAATTCTTGTCCAAATACCCCCTGCTTCAGCCCTAATGTCATCTACCCATCTTCTATGTGGTCTTCCTCTTCTCCTTTTTTTGTCTTTCGTGTACCAAAACATTATCTTTTTACTCCATTTATCTCTTCCTCTAATTGTATGCCCTGCCCATTTCCATTTAAGTTTTTTAACTGTGACTGTAACATCTTTAGTTTTTATGTGTTTTTTAATTGTGCTAGTTTTAATTCTGTCTGATAATCTTATCCCCATCATACTTCTTTCCATGGCATTCTGGCAATTTTGTAGTTTTTTAAAGTGGGATTTGGTAAGAGCCCAGGTTTGGCAACCATATGTAAGAACTGGTAAAATACAGGTTTCAAATAGTTTACCTTTTAAGGCTGTGTTTGTCATTTTGCTTTTAAGTATTTCCTTTAGACTCCAAAATCGTTTCCAGGCATTTCCTATACGTTTTTCAATCTCCTTTGTAGTTAAGTCTGTTGGTGAAATTATTTGACCCAAATATACATACTCATCTACATATTCAATTTTTTTGTTGTTGATGCAGATAGTTTCCCCTTTTTTCCCATTTGTCATAATTTTTGTTTTTTCTTTGTTCATAACCAAACCTACTTTTCGGCTTTCTTTATCTAATTCATTAAGCATTACTTGTAGATTGTCTCTTGCTGGGGAAAATAAAATTAAATCGTCGGCGAATCTCAGATGTGACAGGTATTCCCCGTTCATTAATAGTCCATACTCATCCCAATTTAGTTGACGAAAGATCTCTTCTAATACTGCAGTGAAAAGTTTAGGTGATATGGGGTCACCCTGCCTTACTCCCCTTTCTATTTTGAATTCCTTTCCTTCTTTTTCTAGCTTTACTTTTGCTTTACTGTTTCCATATATGTTCTTCAATATTCTGATGTATTTAATATCAATACACTGATTTTTAAGTGCATACCAAATTGCCTCATGTTCGAGGGTGTCGAAAGCCTTACTATAGTCTACAAAGCAGCAGTAAAAGGTGATATTGTATTCTTTACTTTGTTCGAAAAGTTGCTTGACAACATGGATATGGTCTAAAGTTGAATATCCACTCCTGAAACCTGCTTGCTCCCTTGGTTGGTTATCGTCTAATAGTTTGGTTATGCGGTTTAAAATAACTTTAATAAAGATTTTATATATGTTCGACATAAGGCTTATGGGTCTATAATTATTCATATTACTTTTGTCCCCTTTCTTGTGCAACAATATAATGGTGGATATAGTCCATTGTGTTGGTATTGACTCACTTCTTAATATGTCGTTAAACATATGTGTAAATATTGGTGTAAGAGTATCTTTATTGTTAATAAGAAATTCATTACTGATATTGTCAGGACCTGGAACTTTATCCTTCTTTAGAGATTTCATAACTGTTTCGACTTCTGAGCAAGATCTCTGGAACATCCTTTTGCTTTGTCAAGTCTGTTTGCATAATAGAGCTCTTAGTAGAATATAAGTTTTGTTTTTATATAGCATTTAAAAAAATAAGTATTAGAACTTGTAAATAGATAATCTATGTTTGTTTTGCCATTGTAAATTTCAATAAATATTTTTCTTTGTATTTACCTAAGTTTCTTTAAAGCGTACATATGTCAATTGCGGAAAAAATCGATGTTCTGAAACCACTGAAGCATTTCTCAATACATCGGAATAAAATCGATGTCACCAATCGATGCATAACATAGGAAAAAAACATCAATGTCTATTTTAAATGCCCATCCCTAAGAGTAGGGCAATCAATTTAATATCGATTAATCAAAGAATCGAGAATTTTTATAATTAATATATAGCACGGAATCATTAAATCAAATGTAAATTTCACGTAGAAAGTTGAGATTGATTTTTTCTGTGTTGACAAGAACTATAAAATTCGTAGATATCTAAATAGAGGAGAGTAATAACGTTGAGCATTTTTTACGGGGCTGATTGCTGCCACTTATTAGTCATATGACAGATGCCAAATTGTTGAAATAAGTTTTACATGTTCATATTAATTTAGGAGCTATTAAATTAGATATGGCTATTAAATATGGCTGATATTAAATTCACGCAAATCTTAATGCATAGAGTACTTCTCTCCCTTGAAATCCACAAGTTGAGTAAGCCCGATGATATTTCTCCGATTGTGTCTGGGACGTGCTCGCCAGAGTTGGTTCCGGTTCTTACGCACCTTTCTCGGCTCTGTTACTCATCAGCTATAGTCACAAAGTTGTGAAAGACTGCTTTGGGACATCCGATTCCTAAAAAGAAAGATCGCTCAGATCTAGCTAACTATGAGCCCATAGCTATCTCTTATTCTCGAAGGTTATGGAAACTATCGTTAACCGTCAACTGCTCCGATATTTAAAAAAGTACCAGCTGATCTGTGATCACCAGTACAGCTTTCGACAGAGACGCTCGACCGGTGATCTTGTGGCTTATTTAACACACTGATAGGTAGTGGTAATTGAGAATAAGGGAAAGGCCTTAGCTATTAGTACGAAAGCCTTTGATCGGGTGTGGCATAAAGCGCTGCTTTCAAAACTACCTTCTTTTGGGTTGCTTATAACATTGTACAGGTGTGTCGCCAGTTTTCTCAAGGAACATAACATTAAGGTCATAGTCGACGTAATCGAGCATGCTCTGATTTAAAACCTGTGAATGCTCGTGTCCCACAAAATGTACTATCTCCAACACTGTTTCTTCTGCATATCAATGATGACAGATCAGTATTTTCATTGCTGTGCAGATGATAATACAGGAAATGCATTATATACCGGTCTCTGCTGCTAATTTTCATCACCGTACAACACAAAAACAAACTAAAGTTTCATTCCAACCATCTGGACGAGTAACAGTTTTCCACCGTGCGTTTTTTAAGTTACTTTCTTCCACGAACAACCACTCTTTGAAATCAACTTCCAGTAGCAGTATTACCGAATTTTCAAGAAAAGAGCATATTCCTTTTTAAAAGGCCGGCACCACACCTGCAACACAGATTTTAATATTGAAACAATCAGATCCGAACTTTAATATTAGTAAATGTATTATCATTACCGTTACAAAATAATTTATGACTATAATTTTGTTATGTAAACAAATATAAAAAACTCTAGTGGAACTATAAAAGTGGTATCATTTTGGAGTACGTCGTCTAATCTGTAGTAAAATTATTTACAATTACTTGTATGTTTAAACCTAAACCTTGTAAATTTACAACATTTAATAAATTTATGATATTTTTTTTTTATACAAAATATTTTGATGTAGTTGTAAAAAAATAACAATAATGATAACACGATTATTATGGCATACGTTCTGTTTTATATAGTTGAAGAATTCAATCTTTCTACTGAGAAGTCAATCTTAATTTTTTTTTTTTTTTTTTTTTGTGAATAACGTATAAAATTTTGATTAAACTTGATTTAAAATTTTATTTCAATGAAAAAATGACATCCCTAGCGCAAAGCAGGGCACGATAAGTACATTGTCTATGGTAACAAAACCACCCAAATATTCTTAGCTAAAAAATGGCTAAGAACAAAGAAATCTTTGGTAAACACCTGTCCCTCATTTTTGGTATAATCTGAACGTCACTGATTAAACCATAAATTTATCTGAAGCCAAATTAAAGAAAAATTATGAATTTAAGATTTCTCTAAATTTATATTTATATTTGATAGTTCCACTAAATTACTGTTTAAGAATAATTATAATAAATTTATTTTAATTTTGACTGTAATCTATTATTATTTTCGTTCATATTAGTCCTCAGATTAAAGATTTTGCTGTGATATCAAATTGAAATTCTAATTTCAGATAAGTTTAGAGAATGATGTATCAAAATCGACCCCATTGACAAACAGAAAAACATTAGATACTGCAACACTATAAAATATACTACTATACTATATGCATAATCTATCTGCAATACAGACAGACAAATAAGTCCACTGATATATCAAAAGTTATACAATGGTTTATTCCAGACAAATTACATACTAGGCAGCATGGACTCCGACCTTAGCCTATTCCATAACGGAATAAACGTACTAAAAAAAAAGTAATACAAGTCATTCTAAAATCTTTGGCAGGATATACTCTTTGCTTATAAAAAAAGGCGGGAAAACTTGTAACGCGAGGGCGGAAATTTTAAATTAATTTTATTTGTTTAATATTTATTTGTTGCTTCTCCTAGTTTCTTTTACTTATTTCTCCAATTTAAGCCCTCGTGTGTTGTTAGAGGATATG